GAGTGTTTCCTCAGAAAATACTGTACTGTACTTGTATGTATTGTTTACTTGAGAATACAACAGAGAATAAACTGCCCAAATACCCTTAAACAAAGGAAAAGTACGTCCTTTATGAAGGCATAGAGCCTTTACTACATGAAAATGAAAATTAATGAATACACTGTGTACAGTAATTTACCTGATAAGACATACCTCAGAAAAATACTTTGAGGCATAAAGCTGTTTATAATGAAAATTAATTAACTAAGGATTTTTTTGCCCTGCCAGGGTGTGGCAGAGTTATCTGGACTGCCGGGTTATTGAGTGCTGAGTTTTCGAGACTGTACTGTACTTTGAAATAATTCACAAAAAATAAATATTTCTAAATGAAATAAGTGGAGTTTTTTTTAAACACAGAACAACTTCTAATAACTTAACACTGCATTGAGTAATAACAATCCACGAAACCTTTTTATAACAGTGTTGTCTTCGTAACAAACTTCATGAACATTTTCGACCTGAAGCAGAACTCGGTGGAGGTCAAAAACGTTTGTGAAGTTTGTTACAGAGACAACACTGTTATAAAAAGGTTTCATGGATTGTGGAGTTTTTTTAATCAAATTTAAAATTCTGTACTAAACACGATATGCATGTGCAATTCAGAGTGCCCATTGGCTAGCGTATGTCGGATGATCACTCCTCAACTTACTATTATCACTTTGCCCAGCTAGGTGATAGCAGTATTCACAATGACTGGTCAATTTGACAAATTAATCAATATTTATCACACTGCGTGCCCTATTTGGTCATTATTCATAATGCCCGATTAATCACTTTGTCCATAACATATCCACCAAATTGTTTTTCTAAGTTTCCTCTAGATGAGCTTGAGTTTTTCACCAAATTGGAATCTCTTTCCTTTAGATTAGGGTTGTCAGCACTAAGTCTAGTCAACTAAATAGGGAAACTGTCAACTGCAAGGGAATTTTCCTCATTTGGATAATTTTACTTTTAAACAGAAAATTCTTTAAAACATTGTTGAGAACTAATGCAATATTACTGAGTTAATCCTTATTACAAATATAAAAACACTAAAAATATTTAGGAATTCTTGAATATTTTAACCAAGATTAAATGTTTGAGACATTTCAACCTGTCATCAGGTCATAACTAATTTGAATAAAGAAGTTTTCACAAATATTTTAATGGTGCTCTTTGAATGTTTAAAATGTAGTATGTCTATGGCTTAAACAATCAAATAATTACAAGGGTTCTTGTTCTTTTTCCAAGATTTTGAATGGGAACTATAATTGATTGCTTTCAGGATTTAAGTAAAGCTTTTTCTGTCCAGATTTTGTTAGATGATGATGATGATAAATTTGACAGTAAATCATCTGAGGGATTCTGAACATTTGGATTAGTGGATCTGACTGGGTCTACACCCATGTTCCCTGAATAAAGCAGTTTGTTTCCTACAAACTGCTCTGTTCCATTCCATTATAGGAAATGGCACATTGTTTTCTTCAACAGAAAACTCATGAAAATTAAGACTTATTCACTACTTTAGGTTTATAAGCTAGGAACTCTCCCTCATAGCTTTTATTACTGCAGAAATAGTTGAACCTAACAGATCAGCACTATCTTACATATTGCTTATTAATGTGCCATTATTTCCAGACTGCTTTTGTGCTTGTGGAAAATGTAACATCAAATATAATACTCTTCCTTTGACTTTGCTTTTATATTTTTCTGGCATTTGCTTTTGTTTTTTTAAAAAACCATTAGATTTTCATTAGTGGTCATCTTCAAAGTATATCTCAGTTTTTTCTTTATAAGATTTCTTGCATTTTTGGTTCTACCACAGTTTTGGATACTTCATTGAAACTTTTGCAGTAGAACTTTCAGCTGCCTTGGATAATGCATACTGTAGTGGTTTTAATTACATTGTCAATGTTTATGATATTAGAGAGGTTGTAGTGCAAGTTCAAATGTTACTTGTACGTGGCAAGCAGAAGTACATGGTTTATGTTTTAACTCCAAGAAAAAATTGTTGTGGTGCACATTCACAACATCACGTGATTCAACGAACGTCACGCATTATCTCATAGGAAATTTGTTGAAAAAATGGAAGATACATTTAATGTCGAGGGCTACCAGTGAAGGTAAATAAACAAATTAAACTATTTTAAAGTATTCATAGGATGTTTAATAACACTAAATAATTAATTTTAATTAGCATTGTCTCCTACCATATGATACGACTACTTTATACCTTTGTCGTGGGAAGTAGTGGCTTATGTAAATTCGACAGCAGCTCGGAAAATTAATTTTTAGAAAATTTACAAACATGTTATGCTGCTGATGGTAGATGATGTCGTGGAAGAACAAACCTACCTTAAGATAAGCTATTATGAAGGCAAATATATGTAAATTCTATAGACACTTCACATCACTTGCTAAAAAATTGAATAATTAAATAATTTCTGGATTAAAATAGTCTGTTTCTTTACAATATTATTCGTAAATGCTTAAGTAATCATTATTTTAATAAAATAGGTCATAATTTTAATCCCAAACACAAAAAAAATGAAGTTTAAACCGATCTTCTACTTGCCATGCTAGATGTAGCAAATGCCATTATTGACCGTCTAGAATTGCCAGATGGCGGTGCTCGACCGTCCACCGTTCACGTTTTGGGCTGAATATGATGGTCGCAACCTCTCTATTCATTAAATCTGCTGTGATGCTTACTAAAGATGAATATAACTGGAAACTAAAAAACATTCAAACACTAAGGATGAATAAAGATGCCAAACCTTTGTCCACTAGCTTTAGTTTTGGCAAAAATATTAGCATTAGAATGTGTTGTATGATTTGATAAGAATGCCTGAAAACAGTTTGACAGTTTCTTTAAGAAAAAATTTATGTTCATGTTCTTTGTTGCTTTTGTTTCTCGTGATAACATGTGTAAATATATTACTATGAACATATTCCATATATTATATTATATCTTATTAAATGGAATAAAGTATTGTTTGCTTGAAAATATCCATTTCTTTAATAATATATTTAATTTATAATGTACTGTACAAATTTCTCATTTGTATAATATATATACAGTAACAAGGTTATGTATAATTTTGTTTTTATTGTTCATAAATTATATAAAGTTAATATAAGTAATTTGTTTCATTTTTAGGTAGCAGCAAGAGGTTTGGATATACCAAATGTAAAACATGTGATCAACTTTGATTTGCCAAGTGATATTGAAGAATATGTGCATCGCATTGGTAGAACTGGTCGAGTAGGAAATTTAGGTATTCCATTATTTTACACTGATTTACTTTATATTTGTGTATTTTCACTAGTTTTGTAAAATTAACTTTGAAATTTTATCAATTTAATTAATTTTTTGTGACCGTATTTGATTCTGTCTAAGATATAAATGAGATTTGACATATTGTTTGATTCTTTAATAAATTTAGTAAACTAATATTGCCAGATTTAAAACTGAAAAGTTTTATATCTAGCAAAGTTTTATATTAAATACATTTATCATTTTTATTATGATTTAATATTTGCTGTGTGTTAACTATTTGAAAAAAATAGGTCTAGCTACCTCATTTTTCAATGAAAAGAACCGAAATATGGCACTGGATTTAGTGGAATTGATCACTGAAACAAAGCAAGAAATGCCTGAATGGTTAGCAGCTTTAGCAAAAGAAGTACAAGTTGAACAAAGGACCAATAATCAAAGAAAATATTCAGGGGGTCGAAGGTAAGTAGAATTTAAAATGTACAGATTTTTTTAATAAAATAATGAAAATTAGATAATAAAACTTCAGAACACACATTACAGTCGACCCCCCCCTATAACACTGTTGATTATTCTGTTTTATATGAATTCCATGTTGTACGAGTCACTTAAATCTTACAAATACATGTGCCGGGCTGTGAATGGCTCACGTATTTGTAAAATCTAAGTGACTNGATAAGCTATTATGAAGGCAAATATATGTAAATTCTATAGACACTTCACATCACTTGCTAAAAAATTGAATAATTAAATAATTTCTGGATTAAAATAGTCTGTTTCTTTACAATATTATTCGTAAATGCTTAAGTAATCATTATTTTAATAAAATAGGTCATAATTTTAATCCCAAACACAAAAAAAATGAAGTTTAAACCGATCTTCTACTCGCCATGCTAGATGTAGCAAATGCCATTATTGACCGTCTAGAATTGCCAGATGGCGGTGCTCGACCGTCCACCGTTCACGTTTTGGGCTGAATATGATGGTCGCAACCTCTCTATTCATTAAATCTGCTGTGATGCTTACTAAAGATGAATATAACTGGAAATTAAAAAACATTCAAACACTAAGGATGAATAAAGATGCCAAACCTTTGTCCACTAGCTTTAGTTTTGGCAAAAATATTAGCATTAGAATGTGTTGTATGATTTGATAAGAATGCCTGAAAACAGTTTGACAGTTTCTTTAAGAAAAAATTTATGTTCATGTTCTTTGTTGCTTTTGTTTCTCATGATAACATGTGTAAATATATTACTATGAACATATTCCATATATTATATTATATCTTATTAAATGGAATAAAGTATTGTTTGCTTGAAAATATCCATTTCTTTAATAATATATTTAATTTATAATGTACTGTACAAATTTCTCATTTGTATAATATATATACAGTAACAAGGTTATGTATAATTTTGTTTTTATTGTTCATAAATTATATAAAGTTAATATAAGTAATTTGTTTCATTTTTAGGTAGCAGCAAGAGGTTTGGATATACCAAATGTAAAACATGTGATCAACTTTGATTTGCCAAGTGATATTGAAGAATATGTGCATCGCATTGGTAGAACTGGTCGAGTAGGAAATTTAGGTATTCCATTATTTTACACTGATTTACTTTATATTTGTGTATTTTCACTAGTTTTGTAAAATTAACTTTGAAATTTTATCAATTTAATTAATTTTTTGTGACCGTATTTGATTCTGTCTAAGATATAAATGAGATTTGACATATTGTTTGATTCTTTAATAAATTTAGTAAACTAATATTGCCAGATTTAAAACTGAAAAGTTTTATATCTAGCAAAGTTTTATATTAAATACATTTATCATTTTTATTATGATTTAATATTTGCTGTGTGTTAACTATTTGAAAAAAATAGGTCTAGCTACCTCATTTTTCAATGAAAAGAACCGAAATATGGCACTGGATTTAGTGGAATTGATCACTGAAACAAAGCAAGAAATGCCTGAATGGTTAGCAGCTTTAGCAAAAGAAGTACAAGTTGAACAAAGGACCAATAATCAAAGAAAATATTCAGGGGGTCGAAGGTAAGTAGAATTTAAAATGTACAGATTTTTTTAATAAAATAATGAAAATTAGATAATAAAACTTCAGAACACACATTACAGTCGACCCCCCCCTATAACACTGTTGATTATTCTGTTTTATCTGAATTCCATGTTGTACGAGTCACTTAAATCTTACAAATACATGTGCCGGGCTGTGAATGGCTCACGTATTTGTAAAATCTAAGTGACTTGTACAACATGGAATTCATGTAAAACAGAATTATCAACAGTGTTATAGGGGAGTCGACTGTATTTCAAAAAATTAATGCATATACTTTGTAAGATTCATAAAGAAAATTTGACTTGATCACTGAATTTGGCTGTAAATTTTTACATCAACTAAGCCATCTCTTAATTGTGGCACTAAACTTTGGATAGATAAAACCAATCCAAACCATTAGAAAATAAAGAACTATTTAAAGAATTTAAATTTTATACATAAATTATAAAGTTTGTTCTGTAAAGTGGTGATGGTTATATAATTTTTAATTATGATGAATATCCAAAACTTATTGGCAATGGTCCAATTCCAAGTTGTCCCTACCAAAGAAATTGAAAACTAATCAGCAAATAATATTTTAGTATGATGATGATAGAAATTAAGAATTGTATGTGAAAAGTATCAATAGTTTTTGTTTAAAAATTTTATCAAAATTATACTGTATAATTATTTAGAATACTTAAGATTTATATTGCATTTGATTATACATATATTTTATTTTGATTAAAAAAATTTTTTTTCTCTTAGTGGGAGATACGGCTCCGGCGGTTTCGGATCTCGTGATTATCGTCAGTTCGGCCGTGATCGAGGCAGTACAAATCGCATCGCAGTTTCGAATAATTATTCATCTTCTGCTGTTGGTTACGGAGGAAATAACTATGCTCCTCAATATAAAGGCAACTACGGTGGAAATTACAGTCCCGCCAACGACTGGTGGGGTAACTGAGAACTTTCCATAAAATGTCGACGATGAAAGCAGCAATGAACTATTTTTAGTGAAATTTACGATACTTCCCGTTCAACAATGTATATGACATAAATGTTTGTCACAAACTGCTTATCTGTGCAATGGAAAAGAAATACATTCTTTTACTTGGAATGCTGCTCAAAAGAAGCAGGGTTCGTTACATTCTTACATATGTTGCCTTGTTCTACTGTTGAAAATTGTGTGGAGAATAACTGAAGACTATAGATTTGGAAAACGTAGCTATACAGACTTCAAGAAAATTTAGGTCACAGTGCTGTTGTTGTTTGCTACAATTGCCTGCTGATTTTATTCTCGATGAGCATTATATTCCTCTTGCTGCAAGGATACGAACAAGCCGATATTTTGCGGATTCGATCATGATACAGTTTACATCTGTGACACAATTTACTTATTTATTTAATAGTTATGCACCATATGTCCTGCATTAATAGCATTATCAAATAATTGTATTGTTGTCATTCATACTGATCAGAATTTATCTTTAATTGAGGATTGTTATGTTTAAAGTATCATGTTCTGAGAATTTAATATATACATATATATACTGCTGGCCAAGTAAAATGCAATGCTATTTAGGACTAGATATTGCAGGTGTTGCATTTTGCTTGGCCAGCAGTATATAATATATCTAATAATAATGGTAAATCACAATTAGAATACTTGTACTTAATTATAAAAAAAATTGTTTATATTCAGAGACCATCAACAAAAATCAAATTTTATAGCTTTGGATATAAAACTCTAATTTAATCGTTTATTTTAGGAACTGGCTCGTAAATTCTTGGATAATTACATCTTTTTAGCAGTTGGAAGAGTAGGTAGTACATCAGAAAATATTACACAGAAAGTTGTTTGGGTGGAAGAACATGATAAGAGATCATTTTTACTGGATTTGTTAAATGCTGCTGGACTGAAAAATGGCAATCCAGGTATTTTAAATTTAAAATAAAGTTATTAAAATTTTTAAAATTGTGCTTTTATATAATAAAAATGTTTTTTTTTAGCTCGTGATTCTTTGACTTTAACATTTGTTGAGACTAAAAAAGGAGCAGATGCTCTTGAAAACTTTCTTCTGAAAGAAGGCTATCCAGTAACTAGTATTCATGGAGATCGTAGCCAGCGAGAAAGAGAAGATGCTCTGTGGTCTTTTCGCACAGGACATACACCGGTTCTTGTAGCTACAGCAGTAAGTTTATAAAATTTAAAGAAATAATCTTTAAAAATATTGCTATATTCTTCAAATAAAATATTTTAAGACATACATTATATAATGACATGTTACAAGGTTATACTGCATTATGGATGATGATGTAGATTTCTTTTATTTCCTGCCAAACATGCATTTTTATTTCATTTAACATAGTTTGTTTTGCAAATAACATAGTAGCTTTCACACACATTTGTCAAATGATGTATACTTTGTTATATTGTATGGGTTTGCACTTGGCTTTAACATGGTGTATCTGTTATGGACAAAGTGATTGATACGGGCATTACGAATAATGACCAACAAAATCAGGCATTGTAATAAATTTCAATAATTTATGAAATTGACTGGTCGTTATGAATACTGCTACCACCTAGTCGGACAAAGTGGTGATGATATGTTGAGTGATCATTTGACATACATTAGCCAATCAAAATTTGCATCTTACTAAATGCGTATTGCATTTAGTACCAAATTTTAAATTTATGTGACCAGTAGTTAATCTTTCTTCTTTGATAAAAGTAACGATCATGGAGGAATCATTAAGTGATGTGAATAATCGCTTCAATAACCGATTNGATAAAATAAGCTATATATATTTTAATTTTATCATGAGAAAATATATATATATATTGATTATATATTTTTAAAATTAATAGCTTCCAACTATTAACAAGAAAGGATGTAAGAAAATAATAAGTGTGGTGTGCATCATAAAACAAAAAAAAAAAAAACTGCTCTCCCAAGTAATACCTTTGTTATATATGATAAATCGTAACGAACTAATCTTATTTTCGAAGGGACCAATCATAATCTTGCAGTGATTGTTTCAAAAGAGAAAAATATTCGAACCAAAGGTATGTTTTGTGATAACCATAAATTGAAATGTAGCATTGTTTAAATTTTCATATATAAAAATGAAAAATAATAATAATAATATTTATAAATATATACTGTACATATATATAAATTTAAAAAAAATATATATAGTGCAATTTTATGATTGGTTCCATTATAATTTTTCGTCAAATATGATTTTTTTAATCACATTTTTCTGTTTTTAAAGGTGTTTTTTCCTCCCCTTGGTGTGCAGTTGGCATGTGGAATACATCAAGTTTTTTTTTTTTTTTTTTTTTATTTGATTGTTAAAAATGATGTTGATCTCTAATCATACGATATTTCACATCACTACAAACTCTCATAAACAGTGCATATGCAGATCATCACTCATTATAATTAATCGAAACCTCATACTAGTACCGACTTCACTTTCCGAACAGATCGAGGCACGCGTGCCGTTATATTACTATTACAATTATAAATATATATAGATATAAAAGCAAATTTTATTGTATGTGAAATAATTTTAATCAAAAAAAAAAACAAACAATTATATATTATATAGCATTCTGAAATTGTTTTCACTATATATATATTTTTTTTCTTTATAGATGCTTTAATCATTCCATATTCCACAATGCTTAAAAAAATGGGTAACTGTTATCTTACCCATTGTGCCTTACTCACTGAGTGAGTTATAATAACCTGCATACATTACTATGAATGTCTGTATTAAGATATTTTGTTTGATGAATTGTACTATAGTAAAAATGATATTATATATATATATATATAAAAAGGGATGTTTTGTTGATAAAACTTTGACACTTTACACGTGGAGGATTGAAAAAAAATAATAATAATGATAATAAACACTTTCGACGCTAGTTATTATTTCTAAACCATTTTATAATTGGGATGTTTATTTTATTGTCAATATGTTGTTACACAAAACACATTACAGAGCACTCGACATACCGAATGTAAGAATGATGTCCAATGACAGATTTAGTCTTTTAAAATGAAATTAATTTAAGCATTTTGTTTGGATAATTGTTTAATAAATATTGATTTGTAAATTTCCTTTGGAGGCAGTTGATTTGCTTGTTTTTTGTTTTGTTTTTTCCTTCCACTTAACCAACGATATACAACTTAGAAATTCCGAATCAATATCCGTAAAGTAAGTATGAATGGATCGTAAATAGAATCGATTATGAATGAATGTGACGTAGAGATTTATCTGTTAAGTGTAGATTTAAAAGTATACTTACAATCAAATTACGGAAGGATGTAAAATCGCATTCTGCTTGGGGGAGCAGTGCTCAATATTTTATAACCGGAAGGTTAGAATATCAAAAAATATATAGTTAAAATCACTTCCGGTTTAATGATTATAAACCGTTTTTTCTTATCTGATAATTACTTATAATAATAATAATAATAATAGCTTGTGCTTGAAAATCGATTTATTTTTATACACTACTTTTTGTTCGTAACTTTAAAAAAATAATAATAATAATGGACGATATGCATCTTAATGTAGTACTTATTAAGCGCCGAGCGTATTAATAGAATTTATATACTCTCAATTATTTTTTTCATTCCAAGCAATAGAACGGGCATTTATTAAATGCTAAATCTATAGGAGTTTTATTTAATTATCTGGAATAAATTATCTTAATTTTATCATGTATTAAATTGAATGACTTTTCTTTTTTTTCTCTTTTTTTTTTGATTGTTGTTTACTTGAAGTTTTATTTGTGAAATTTAATTAATGGTAAAATATATATGTATATATTTAACTGCCAAATTGATTGATTTTTCATAAATATATACACTATTATTTTCGTAATTTAAAATTTTATTCCTAATCTTTTATAAGGAAGAAAGTAAACGAATCGTTAATTCGAGTAAAATCTCTCTCTCTCTGTGAAAGACAGAACTTTCAGAGATTAAATATTGTGATGAAACGCGGCAGATATATGGGACGGCCCAAAAATCGGTTAACAAAGATATATTAGTTATCCCCGATTCATGCAAATACAAGAGTTAATAATTCTAATATAAGAAAAATTATTAAGAACATTCAATTATTTTTTAAAATTAATAATTAGTATTTCTGTATCGAACATTGAACGTGAATCTTCGTAGGTTTGTAAGAAGCGAACACACTAGAAAAGCCAACACAGAATAACGTGGAGAGGAGAGTCGAGACGATCAACCACACGTTGAATGTCATAACTGTCAACATGATCGTGTATCCTACAAAGGTTTGCATAGTGTAAAGCATTGTCTGAAACACGTGATGTCGAACTCTGGAAAAAATAATAATAATAAAATTTTTATAAAATTAAAATATATATACAGTAAAACCTGTGTAAACCGGACTCTCGCAGTACGGAATATATTTTTTTCTGGTTTGGGTGGTTCCGTTTTAAATTAAACAGGTATTTTTTTTTAATACAGAAATTTGTTGCGTTTCGAAGAATTCTCCCCATTTAGGCAGGTTTCCGTTTTAAACAATTTCACTGTATATAATAGAATACAGGAATATAGAACATTGTAAATAGAAACGACATTTAAGGTCTCAATTTCGAGATATTTCCAAAAACAATACCTCTAGTAAGCGCCGTAAACAAAAATGGCGACTCAGAACACGAAACCTTCTTTGGTGCGGAGGTGCGCAAGTTCATATTTTGCCAAAACGTCACTAACGCTTGGAGATTTTAAGAGATTCGGGATAGTTTGTTATTAGCCTCCCTCCAAATACAGGTAACCCCCGTATAACACGGCACTTCTATAGCACGGATTCACTCTAACACGGTTCGAGAATTGGTACCATCCCCCGTATAACACGGCACTTCTATAGCACGGATTCACTCTAACACGGTTCGAGAATTGGGAACATCCCCGTATAACACGGTGCTTTTATAGCACGGATTCACTGACACGGTTCGGGAATTGGGTAAAACCCTCGTACAACATGAAATGTAATAAAGGGTGCGTTCTTTTATACCTCCGCGCGAGCATTGTAATTGTTTTCGTCGCTACTTTGAATGCTATTTCAACAAATAATCCATTTAATGGTTACATTTTACAATTGGGACCCTTCTTTTGCCTCTAAAAGCTCATTTTAGAATTATAGATTCCTCCATCACGATACTATCGATATTGCGGGCGCCGCCATCTTTCTTTCACCGTCGTTCCTAAATGCGTAACCGCTATTAACGAACAAAAACTCTTACCAGTTGATGATGCTCATGCTGAGATCATCATATAGTATAAGTAAATATTTTACCAGAGGATTACCTATGAAAAAAATGAATAATAAATCCGATTTAAATAAAGATTTAATAGCATATTTTTTAATTTTTGGAACCTAACCCCCCCTTTTCGCACTAGTTCTTTGTTTTCGTATAACACGGCAATTTTTTGGAATGTAACTCCCGTGTTATACGGGGACTACCTGACACACACCTCGTGCGCGAGAACTTTTTGGCCACTCATGTACAGTACATGTTCATTTGAAAATATGACACACATTATTAACATGTTTTCTCGACGTTACATAAAAGAAATGAATACTAACCTCTTCCAATCTGTTTTTTCTTTCGTGTCAGTTGAAACTTTTACACCCCTGTACGTTTCTTCGTTTTGTAGGAACAGCGACAAACGATTTCTGAAAATCTTGATAGTTTCGTACAGGAACACCAATAATGATACTATTATGCAAGCTCCAAACATCTCTAAAAATAGAAAAAAAAATATGCGGTTTTTTAACCCTTCGTCTTAATTTTAGCCCTTATTTAATTTAGTTTCATTGGAATCAGCTCTGACACTTTGTTCTCATCCGTGGTCCCCGTTTGTAGGTATTTAAAGATTAATTAAGGAATGGGTCGACACGTCTTCATTATAAGGGTGAGCAAACAAAAATCATACTACTACATACTATGTAATCCAGGAACACGAATTTGACAAAATTAGTTTCTTCTGTCTATAAATTAAGGAATCCGCTATTTTGATTTTAATTAATCTTGACGCCGGCCATTAGTGCTCGGATTAAATTGGCAGAATTTGGATTTGATGCGCTGTTTTAATTCCACTTCACCATCCATTTTCGTACACCTTCTGTTTCAGCTGGTGGTACCAGTTACTTCAAATTGGACGCAACTGACGGAAGTTAATTAATTAACATTTACGTCGTCATTCTATTTGCTGACGTAACGGATTCCATATTTCTCTCGAACAGAAAAACTATCTGTACTAGAGGAATGTGTGTCGAAGCTTTGCCTCCCTTGAAAATACGACGACAAACAATCCTCTACTGTCGAAATCAGCGATTTTCTGATCTCTTTTGCGAAAATGAAAATCTCAATTACATAATAATCATAAATATGTACGCAGATGTACCTTGGCTTTTCAGGATCGTGTGATCTTCTATAAATGATGTTACGTCTCCTCCGGTAGTTCTGTCACGTTATCTAGAGCAGCGTTTTTCAAACTGAACCGTAATCCAAAAAATTAACGCTAGCCATCAGCATGTTACGGTTAATTACGTTCACAATTATGCTAATTACGAATTGGGCCAAACAACAATGGATGGTCAGTACGGGTAAGAACTGGAGAACGATACCCCGGCCGTAATGCTCTTGATAAATTATGGAGATCGTGTCCTGGAGTTCGAACCCGGATCCATCACGCGATAGGCAAACAACGTTAAAATACATAGAAAGCTTAAATTGTTGTTAGCACGCGTGTAAAAACTCTCTTCCTATTTCTAATACCGAGGAAACGTGACTTACCTTCAATAGTCGCGATGGAAATTCCATTCAAGAGGAAATGGTTCAATTTATAATCGAAAGAAAAGTAGGTGTTCATCTAATTTAAATAAAAATTAACAGTTTAAATAAATAAATATGCCGTTATCATATATATATATATTTAAAATCCTACAACTTACCGAATGATGTTTCCACGGCTCGATTTTCTTAGTTGTTGGTCTCGGCGTTTATAACGCCAAGGCAGATCGTCATTAATATATTAAATATAAACTACCTTAACTGTAGTGTGTATTTTTAAAACAGCAGAGGAATTTATTAAAGAGCAGCCGCACCGAATAAATATTGATACCGCTGAATACACATTGTACAAACGGATTTTTAACCAAACATCTATTAGAGCAAAAATACAGACTGTTTTGAATTATTAAAATTTTAGTTTAATTATATTATTAAAAAATGTGAAACTATTGTATACAGTAACTACCAGGATCGACATTAACTCACGTCGTCGTCATTCCAATAAATCTGACATTATGAACACCTCGCCCATCCTCTCCTCCACTATTCTTACTGTTACTCGCATTAAAATCTTGGCCTCATCATCAAGAAATGTGAACAACTTCGTGTTTTCAAGTATTTTTTATTTTTTTGTTATTTATAACAAATGCCACTAAAGATCTCAGTGCAGGGTTCTGTAATTCAAAGCATTGTGGAATACGGTCTTCCTACTGTTGCCCGGCTCGGTAATCTTCACTCCATTATCTTGTATTATGGATTTGCCCTTGGATTACCTGTATTACCATCAATTCTGTTGTTGGTTGCATTATCACATTTCTCCCACCAATCTTTGCTTCTGCACTCTCGGAACAAAATATATTTGCTCTTTCATACTTGATTTACTAACATCCTTGGTAAAGACATTTCATTTTCCTCTCATTTAATTTGATTGTAGGTATCATCTCCCAGACCTTCTTGACTAACACTTTGATCTCTTCCCTCTCCGTCAATGTGGACTATCCCTCGAGTCCTTATCCTTATTTCTGCTCTCCCTTTCTGGAATAACCTACTAAATGACTTCTCTCTACGATTCTGGATTCGTAACTGGCAAATCACCTACAGTATAATCACAGACGGCACCCAGCACTCCATTTGTATTTTTGCTGTCTTTCTTAACTACAACTACCATCACAAATAAATATTGACCATGGTTTTGGGTCAATACCTATTGATTCCTAAGACTTTTGTAAAGAATATGTAGTTAACTTTCGGAAACTCTAAAGCATTCGGTTCGCCGGTTGCACCGTACTTGTTATTTATTGTATATATACCTAACAATCCAACTGTATACTGTTTAATAATGATATAACAATCCATAAGATGTATTAACAATTTGTTACTTCTAATAACACCATTTGAGTATGATTCTGAATCTCAAATTTTCATGTGGTGATCCAGGCAAGTTGATCCTACCCATCATTTGGTTGCCTCTGTAATGAATGTAAAAAAAGAGTAGTGTCCACAAGAAAGAAACGGATTTCTCGGAATGAAATCCTTTAACTTTTTGAGTGATATTTTCTTTAGAAAGAGTGAAACTAATGATCATTAACACATCTACGCATTTAATGCAAGAAAGCCAGGATATGTATACAAGCATCTATGCTATGACATGACCTTCAAGCATCAAATTCACTATTTTATTAATAATTTCCAAAAAATTATTATAACTTTCTTAAAATAAGAAAAATCAGAAGTGCTCTATTTACTGATAAAAAATGAGGAGGAGATATTGTTTAAACTCTTACTGCTCTATGGCACATACATCATGGATTTAATCCACATTAGAAATGGCTGATAGCAAGGGACGTGGTATGACATTTTGGAATCAATTCATTTGTGAAAATGTCTAAACAAATCTGAACCTGCATTCAAATCTTTTGGCACGGTAAGCTGGGGCACTTACCACCTTGTCTACATCGCTGTCAAAATAACATCAATACTAATAATACAGGATCGAAAGGTTGCGCAATGTGTCAGGAATCAATCTTATTTTGTGAGGTTAATGTGTGAAAATACAAAGGGTAGTAAAAAAATTTATAGTCTGATCTTTAAGAAAAGCAAAATCAAATTGTGTTATTACAACGTGTTTGAAATGGCCTCCTCATTTACAAGGCACGAGCTCATTTTACCTTGTTTGATGTCACCTTTAAAGAACCTGAAAACCGATGCTGGAAACAGCTTTTATAATGTTCCTCTTCAGTTTATCAAATGTGTGTGGATAATTTTATACCTGGCTCTTGAGATACCCCCAGAGGTAAAAATCTGGCAATCATGGAGACCACAATTCTACACAAATAAAATGTTGCCAAAAAATTCTTGCAAGAACTGCAGATTCAGGATATTTCTGTTAAAATTCGTTTGCAACACCTGCGTAAGAGCAAATGACAAAATGCTCAATAATGAAAATCCTTTGTTCCCGGGAAAAACCATTTTGCTTCCTCACAATGAACAAAGCTATACTGCAGCCAATTTATGACTTTCATACAAAAATCAGAGTTTCTATTAATAATAGTAAGCAGACATAGTGTGGGAGACATAATAAAAATAACTTGACACAAGTTACAGAAACAAGTATTTTGATGTGTGCGACTTTATGATCACCCCGTTTATTGTTTAAATAATACATATTAACATTGCATTTGATAAAACAAAACAGTTTTTTAATATATGAAACAAGTAAAATAATTAAGTTACTCTGTGAATCTCAAACTTACAAAATAAAAAAAGAATGCAGTATTATCATAATTTAATTCTCTTTAAATCATACATTAAATTATAATTTTTCATTGGTTAATATTAATGTTAAAGACACTGTAAAGGGGAAAAAATGTAGCAGAAAATTTTCTAGTTATAAATTATTTCCAAATTTATTTTCTGCTTACAAAGTAAAATTTATAAATACATAAAGGCACTTATATAGCATACATAAAATTTATTGCCGATACTAGCAACCATTAAATATAATTCTTTTAATAATCATTTCGAGGTGTTTGTGAATATTTAAAATATATAATATATATATATGTATGTATATATATACAGTTTTAGTAGTTTGAAAAAATTAACTCTATAATTTACTAGATAATTTTGTACACAATTTTCTTGTATCGTACTGTCAAATGATACACCTGAGAATATATCCACGAGAGATGTTACGATGAGATAAAACAGGATTTGCACTTTTCTTAAAATTCGAATGGTTGACATTTTCCGGGATGATGATTGAAATATGCTTAATATTGGAACAGTTAAAATAATTAGTTTCTTTGGGTGCAAATTGCTAAGTCGAAACAGGAATTTACAATTTATTGTTATCCGATTTGGGTAATGAATAATTAGCAGTGAAATGAACAAACTTATGTTATTTTTTTGTTAAAAAAAATTAAATTCTATGATAATTAAATATTATTTAAAATACAAAACAAAATCAACTTAAAACTGGAAGATATTAATCATTTGGCACACTACAATAATTAAATTTAAAATATATATAAATCTTAACATGTATCTGAAACAATTTATGAAATTGTAGGATGGTGATTATAAATTATGCTATTTTTCTTTAATTGGTTATGAAATAGCATTTAATAAAAATTATAAAATTAATAAAATGTTAAGGCACACATTACACTTAATGTGATACAAAGCTATTCATTTTTTCACAGTTAGCACTCGTATGTAAAGTAAAAAGCCTTTAAAATGACTAGTGAGCAGATATTTTAGATAAATGTAACTAACATCAAAACATGGTTATATTTACCTAAAATTGATTGATTAATTAATTTTACAAATAAATTTTATTACAACTTAACTTTTTATATTTTATAATCACAGCCTTTGATTGGTGATAGTTTCTGTGTCAATATGTACATTTGAATTATGTTCTTGTTAACTTTTTCTCCGCGTAACTTAACTAATACGGATACTCGGCATCTGACTCAGCATAGTCGTAGTCTTCATCGTCAATATCCATAAAGTTTTTAGATCTGCTGTGGAGAATGGCAGAAAGATTGAATTTTCCCAAACTCTGAGAATATTCGTCTAATTCTTGATCTGCCTCATCCAATGAGCTAGTTAGGAATAAGATGTCAATATTTATCATTGTGCTTTAAATATATGATCATAGATACTCACTAATGATCCGATTGTAAGCCAAGACCTTCTTCTGCAATTAGTATCTCATATTCTTCGGCTGCATATATATCCCAGTCAGACATTTCTATTCCATCGGTTTGATCCTGTTAATTGTATAAATACATAAACTTCTTCCTGTCATTTCGTGAATTTGTAAATTTATATATTAGAACTACATACCCGTTGTGATGCAAATGGATCCCTCTGTTCATGATCTAGGAATTTTTCCAAATTGAAAAATGTATCAAAAAATACAGGTGTCATTTTGCAATGTTTAAGATCGGATAGAGATATTTTGCCCGGATATTTTGGTCGCACCATGTCCAGCATCTAAGCAAAAAACAAAATAATTCATTAATAAAAAAATGCACTAAGATTCATTTTATAATTTTTTCAGAATCTTACTTTTATTAAATTATTTTAAGTATTATGATATGTTGGCAAGATATAAATGTTTTTTCTGTCATGTGTTTATAACTTGCATATTTTTTCCATAAATAAGGTTAAAATTAAATAGCTTTTTATTTTTGTTTATTTTTTATTTTTGTTACATTAATTAGGATTGAATCTGTAGACGTGCATATTACAATTAGGATTTCTCTAACAGGATCCCAGCTGTATCTCACGAAAAGAATTTCCCAAGTTATAAACCCTGGAAATTCTTCTTCTCTTATATGCATTAAAGACAATTTTACCCACATCAATTGAATCAGAAAGGGCATTATCATTATCAGGATATTTCATTACTAAAATAAGAACCAAATTGAGTGATCAGAGTATTGACCATCTTTGCTTTTTAAAATCTTATTATAAAATTTACAATAATATTTTGTATTATGTTTTATTTAAAAACAAAAATTTCCCTCTAAGTTCTACATTCTAAGTTTGATATAAGTTCAGTTTTTTTCTTTAAATTTTCAACTCAATTCAAAGGCTTTTTTTTGTGTTATAAGCAGTTTCCAACAAACTTTAATCAACTTTTTCTACTTATGAAAATTGCTATGCAATTCAAAAGTAATTTTTAATACATATTTTACACAGTATTATTATTATTATTATTATTATTTTGGAGGATGGATGCATTAAATTACTTAAAAAAATGAAAAATAATTATATCATTTGATTTCAAGATTTATTTTATATCTTAAAAATAATTAATTATATCCCAGGATTTTTCGGGATTCCGGGAAACAGTTCACTTTTTTCTTGAAATCCTGGGACAAGGACTGGGAAATGAGAAACTCTAATTACAATAATCTAAGTAAAAATATATTTTTCATAAATATTCTGTGTGTAAGAAAATCCAAAAGAACTTTAAAAATATGTTGCTTTTTTCAGAAATACAAATTTTATATCCTTTTTTCTGCACTGAAAATAACAAGAGGGGCTTTTGTTAATTCAGCCTTGCTCATAGCGGAGTAAGTAATGAAATAAAGCATCAGACATATCTGAGTATAATTTCTCACAAAAATTTCTAAGAATACAACCTAGATTCATATTGGAACTAAGAATAGCAGGCTGATACCTTTACCTTGTAAGGAGTCTAAGTCCGATAGTTATTTTATGTTTTGAACATTATTTTTAGTTATAGTTTTTTTGGGGGGTCTTTTATTGAATGGAAATGCCTAAGAAACCCCCAAAATGTGCTAGATTCAAAAGTAAAAATCTCCATATACTAATTTACATCAGTGACTGATCCCATGATGCACAGATATGTAAATAGGGCAATATGGATTTACACTGATACAGATAAAAAATGGCACGCCTGTCAACAGTGTGGTGTAGCTCCCAACAGCAACCTTCACTGAAGCAAATTATCTGGCATTGTTTGATAAGTGTATTCTTTGTAAGCTTGTAAGAAGCATATTCTTTGTTTAATTACTTCGGTGGAAATTTAATTGATTATAAAATTGTAATTGTATATTTTTTTTCTTTTTTTGGAATATTTGAAATATATACTTATTACTAATTCTTGTTATAATCATTGCTGTTTATATATAAATAACACTGTTCAATCTAATAAATATTATTATGGATTTTTACTTATATAAACGTTATTTTGGATTATTATATTTTGCTTCCCATTAGGTCCAGGGCTGGTACTTGATTTGAACCCTAAATTGTGTAACCCCATCTTTTGTGTCATGCAATATGTTACAATCTCTCTGACCATCCAGATATACAATATTTACATAAATTTGAAAAAGTATTCTTCTTTCTTAAATTATAATATATTTATATTTAAATTTCATAGTGAAAATAGAAAATTACCATTACCTGACATAAACAATCTTTAAATGGAAGTGTTTCTATGCCAAGAGCTTCCATTCTTTGAAGCTGTTCATCATAAAAATATTCCAGTTCATACATAGATAAGAAACCATCACCATCCAAATCCATGCATCTAAACCAATATTCAATGCTACCCAAAAGAAAAAAATATATACATATAACTTTTTTCAAATAAATTTATTTTATATATATATCATGTTCATTAAGTATAACCTTGATATATTTAGAATACAGTAGAACTCCATTTATCCAAGATAATATGGAATGATGCAACCTTGGTTAACTGAAAACTCAGATAAAATAAATAGCCATAGCTATTTTGGATTAAAAATTACAAATATAAATGATTTATATTGTATATCACTTTTAAGCCTGTTTTTATACTTTATTAAATTTAATCATACATAATATTTTTTATATAATTTATTATGTAGCTAATAGTTTTAAGAAGAAAAATGTGTATTATTGTAGTTACATTTTACAGTAATATGAATTGGTAATAATCCATATTAAAACCTTTTGACTAAAAACATTAAATCAATACAAATGTTTTTAGCTCTTTTTAATTAAAAGGTCATCAGGCTATTACGGAAAGAATATATTTAAAGTAGTAGATCATTCAACAAGAAATAAATATAATTAGAACAATTTTTAAACTAAACAGATTTTTGGATATAATATAAATTCAGTGATATGAATTACAATGTTGAACATGATATGTAAGATGTTTTTCTATCACAAAAGCTATAACAGATATAAACCAAATTATTATTGTATAAATTATATTCAAACTAAATTTATACAGCAATATCCAGTTAATATCCACAGTACTAATTTAGGTTTGTTAGGAATTACATACAAGAATCTCCATACTCCAGACATCTCATCTTCATCCTTGAAGTCACTGACCTTCCCATTTTATTCTTGGAAATATCTGGAGGCTATAGAACTATCCTTCCATCTTACAGAAACTGCATTATCCAGTGTATATAATGCCACAGCAATGAAAGGTATTCTTTTCTGGATGGTTAATGATGCTCTTTAAGCCTACTTAATAAGGAGCATGCTGCTGCATTGATATAATTCATGTTCTTAATTGTCTCTGGAGTCAATAAATGTGACTATACACATTCCTAGTATTCTCTTAGAATCCACCTTATCTTTGCCATTTCTGAGGATTTTGTAAATATTAGGATTTCTTTTATAAAATATTTTTGTGTTCATAGATCATGAAATTTCTTTATAGACAGCATGGCTGTAAATATCATAATTGAAAACCAGGTATTTTATGTGCTACAGTATATTTAAGTTCTAGGTGCAACTTTAGAACTTTTTACACAAGTTTTTACCATATTAGGGCTGAAGTCAAGATTTCTGTTTATCTCAATTAAATATTGAATTTCCTACTGTTGGTCAATAGTACTTCTTTTTAAACTGTCTCCACTCTTTCGGCTTTAAAAAGGACCTCTGTAAAAAGCCCATTATGGGTTTGGCCAGACTCACAATGGGACAACTGTATGATGAGGAAAAGATCTAACATACCTGAATAGACCATCCCAAAAAATTTCTGATGTTTTTTTTGGCCCATTTGGATTTGATTTCCCAGAGCAGTAGGCTGCCACCTTAACCACTCAGCCATCCAACTATCATTGGTCAACAATACTGATACAACGTATAGGGCTCTTCATATCAATGTCCTAAAAGCCATTAGTTTAAAATGCATGGGATCATGGGTGGTATTAGATATAAATAATGGATGATATCCAGGTTTTCTATAGATACTGGTGGAAATTTGGCCTACATCCTACTCACTGTTTCAAAGTGAGTAGGATGTTCAAAAAGTGTACAGATACACCACTCTCCTGTTCTAGGAATGCTTTAGATCATAAGGGTTCTTATTAATATCCAACATGAACTGTTGTATATTAGGTTTATCTCCCAAATAATTAATGTTGTCTACATATCAGAAATATAGACATGTCTCAGTTGTAACTGGATAGTATTCAGTTCTCCAGGGTTCTAGCACCATTCCATATAACACCCTTGACAGAGGGCTATCCATTGGTAAACTTCTCCTTTGCATGTATATGGTACCATTGAATTAAAAGAATGTGAAAAAACACTATCAGCTAATTTTACTCACTTTTAAACATGCCAAGTTTCCATAGGTATCATAGTATGTGTGGACTCTTCATATCAACACTCTAAAAGCTGTTAAAGTAATTGGAATTTTGAGATGCCAGCTGTAAATAATAGAATGGAATCCAAGTTTTTCATAGGTATCTATGAAACTTTATTTACTTTAACAGCTTTTAGAGTGTTGATATGAAGAGTCCATACATACTGTAGCAATATTATTGAACAGCAGCAGGAAATTTGATATTTAATTGAGACAAGCAGAAATCCTTGCTACTATCCTAATGTGGTAAAACAGTTGTGTAAAAGGTATCAAAGTTGCACCTAGAACTCAAATATTGACTACTGAAGCCCTAAGGACGACATAAAATATAAGGTTGTCAATTACAACACTCGCATCCATACCATCTATAAGAAAATTGCAAAAGTTAGCAAAAATGTATTATTCTTTTTTGTTAATAAGAGAAATATATTTATTAAAGCAATCAATAATTATTGATAACTAACAAGCCCAATTAAAAGTACTGTTAATATTAATTTTAGTTAAAACGAGGGCATTTTCTTTTTACGGTTGTAGTATTGGTTGATCATGATCAGAAATATCAGCAATGTCTTTGTTTTTTTATTTTTATCATAATTTTCTATGGATGACAAAATAAAAATATGTTATTAATCAATAATTTATTCTAGCAGGTTGTGTTTGTTCAGTCAAGTAGAATATTGAGCAATTTTTTCTAGAATTTGTGCTTGAATACTGAATTGTTTAACAGAGTTGGGAACAGTTCAAGTACCAAGATGCCGCTGTATTTTGTTCATCATTTTTACAAAGGATTACTTACGTACGGTTAAAAAAGTTTAACAACATTTACATAAAAATGTTTAAATAAACTTTACTAAATACAAAGATTAATGTATAAAAACAAAACACAGTGACAGTCTTAAGGTCTAATGTCTGAAAGCAACAAACAATACCAAGTTGATAGGAAAGTTAGAAGGATGAAAAACTTGCACTATCGGTTTTCATTAAAGTAAACCTGACAAAAGGCACAAAATAAATTGAAAATTTCAATATTGTAAAATCCATGGGCAAATCTTGGATAACATGCATGCTTACTTGAATAAAAAAAATATTGAATAACTGAGTTTACACTTAAAAATTGCGAAATTCTTTGTTGTAGAAGTAATGTGTTGTGTGAGGGATACCTGTAAATACTTTTGACTCCAAAAATATGGCCAAACTCAATTTATTTTTAAAATCAAACTCTGATAGAAAAAAATTAAAATTTTTATAACTTAATATGTCTAAATTTCAAATTAAGAAAATTATAGAAATATCTGATATCTGATTATAAAGGAAGATATTTTTTTTCAATAAATCAAAAACGTAATGAAGTATACTTCAAAATATTTTTTAACATAATGATGAAGATATGTGAATAATTCTTTTTTATTGGACCATATTAAAATTAATTGCATCAATCCTTTCTGAGACTATAACTTAAAAAAATTACAGAAAAAGTTGCAAATGTATTTATATGTAAAATTATTACTTTAAGTTTTAAGTATAAATTATTGTAAAAATTATGTTTGAGAATATATCTTTCAAAAATTTTTCTAACATTAATTTCAAAAGGGCAATTTACAAAATCCATTAAAGATATGAGACAAATAATTGAAAGTTTAAGAAATAAATTACTATTTTATATTTAAATACATAGTTTTTGTTACATATATTTAAATAATAATATTACACACACATATAATAATAAATGCTTTAAGGCTAGCCATCAGGCTACCATCTCTTGCTAAATATAATAATTATAAATAAATAAATTAATTTATAATTATGATATTTAACAAGAGATGGCAGCCTCTTGCCAAATTACTTAGCAATTATTTAACGTTAATAGTCCTAAAAAGAAATCCAGCTGTTTGTTTGATAATTACATATATTTTACATTAACATGTGTTTAAACAGTTTTGCTTTGTAAGTAATAAAATTACCTTCGAGGATGTCTTTTGTCTTCTTCAGATATTAAAAACCACACAAATTCAGAATAATTCATTTTTCCTTTATTTTTTATAGATCCTCTGTAAATAATCAAATGTTTGATGATTTATTCTCTTCAGAATAAATTAGAACAAAATTTATACTTTATTATCTGTAAAATACCTCGTAACTGCCCCAGAAAATATCCGATCAATCATTCGTGACGATATTGCTGGGGGAAAAAAAGAAAGAAATGTGATTTTAGTAGAATATTTGATATGACATTATTTCAAATAAAACATATAAAAATTTACCTCCATCATTATGACGACTTAAGTCGTTCTTGTCAATTGTTAAGTCATGATCAGTGTCAAGTTCCCAAAATTTACAATAAATAACATAAAAGTGCTCATAAGAAAAATATTCAGTTATTAAATTAATATCTTCTTCTTCTTCTAGTAATGCTACAACCTAACAAACAAACAAGTAAAAAATACATATATACATATGCCAGCATTCACAAGTACACGCCAAGCTCTTTTCTACAAAAATTAAATCAAAACCAAACAAAATACTTGATGTTTTCAAAAAATAATGTTTATTTTTTAATTAAAAGTTCTTTTTACTATTATTTTAATTGATCTACAATTTTTCAAAATGAGTACCTAAATTTTTTGCTTTTATTGGACAATTGCTGAATGAGTTCTCTTACTCACGAAAGCAGAGATAATCTGATATCACTAATTTCCAGTCCAGTAAAAACATCTTTCCTGATGTAGTCAAAATATTGTGTGTTAAATCATATAAATAGCATAGCATAAGGTACCAATATAAACTATTAATACTTAGTCAAAATAATAGTTAAATTCATTACAAAGGTCACTAAATTATATAATTTATAATGATAAGATTTTTCTTCATTTGTGTTCAATTTAAAATGCATGTGCATGCACACACTCATGCAAGCACACAGTTGGAGCTGGAATCTTATCAGAGAATTAGTCTGATATCTTTCTCACCTTCTGATAGATCACAATACAGAATTTAGACTGTAATCTTCTAAGTATGGAGCTTCAATAAAATCCTTTGCTTTTTTCATTAAAACCTGTTATGCCAGAAATTGGTCATTTTTAATCATACTGCCTTTCCATGGAATTAATAGCCATTTCTTCTTATCTCTCAGAATCAAACTGGATTCCACCGTTTCTAACAATCACAGGCATACAAGAATCTTTACAAGATGAATAGAAACTAATGTTTTATATCATGTTTAATATTTTAAAATTTAATTTTGATGAATCATTTTTCTCTCTTTTTCCAAAGGATTGCCAAATATACACATATATTAAAATACATTTGAAATTTAACATCTCTTCAGAAAGATTCAACTCCATATTGTTCAAATTAAGAAACAAATCATTCACTTATTGTTTTGTAGAAATGGAAAAGCTGCTTGTCCCATCTTCAAATAGATGAAAGCAGCCCTGAAAAATGTTTAATCGAATAATAAAGTTTGACTTCTATATTTGGAATTCACTTTTATATAACATACAAAATATTTTCTTTTTAATTTGAGGCTATCAAATTTATCTAAATAAATCAAGTATTTTACAGCAGAATTCTACATACTGTATATATGATATGATATGGAGTATGTAAACTGAAAAATATTTTTACAAGCACATTCTAATACAAATTTTAATGATCTTTTTAAAAATAAATTTAGATGATTTAGAATTCCAAAATAAAAAGAGTGCCTACAATATTACATTTGTTGTTTAGAGTGAACACTTTTCTATGAAAAATTATCTAATATGAAATTAAACAGTGTAAAAATTATTATTATAAAAAAATTTTAATTACTGTTAAACCTCATAGAGGAAGCAAAAATCTGATAATGTCAATTGTCCATCAATTCCAAAGATGTCATGATCAGCTGCAAAACAAACTTCATGTAAGATATGATAACAGAAAAACACCCTGTAATGTGGGATATACGAAGAGAAATAAACACCACACTTCCAAGCAAGAATTTAAGCAATAACTACCAACATGCTGCCTAAAGGACATTCCACAAATTACATTCTCATTCCGACAGATGCTTTGGAACAAAGATTTGGTCTGTTGCTTCTGAAATCTATTAAGCCATATTGTGATTCATAAAACTGAAGGTCAGTATTAAAAAAATTAATTTGTGTTTGATAGAAAAAAAATATCTTGACATTTGTTTTTAAAAAAAATGAAACCACATTGTCATGCATCATACTTAATATTTCTGAACAATATTGTTACTACCTAAAACAAATTATTTATAATAATAAATTGAAATAATATTTATATGACACCACATATTGAACCAAAGTTTACAAATAATTATCTATGAATTAGAATCATCATCAGTGTAACAGAAAAAAATGTAAATATAACCCTAATGCATATACAACAAATTTTTGACATTCTATGCTAATTATGCTTATCTAACTACAGATCTTATTGAGATTTATTACAAAGAAACACGTAATTTTTAACTTACAAAATTTCTTAAGCATATCCTTGTTTAAAAAACTCTCTCTAATTACCTGAAGATAATCACTTTTCCTCAATTCTGGTGCAGTTATTCTACCGCTCCAAGACCTATTTACACAATAATAAATTCGAGCTATCACCTAAAAATGAGTAAAGTTATATGAGTAAAAAAATATAACAAATTAAAATGTTAAAATAAACTATGATATAAGAGTCTGAATATTTTAAAATTATAAATAACAATGTAAATTTGTATAACCACCCTTCATCATATATGTATCTTCACATAAAATTTTTAAAAATAAATTTAGAGTTTTGCAAATTGTACTTGATTGAACCTAAAGCACAGCCTGATTTTTAACGGGAAAAGCTATGTAAAAACCAGATTATTTTCAGGCTAGAATTAAATAAATTATTAATCAATCAAATTATAGAATCTGGCCTAAAGACATGTAATTAAGTTGCTATCCAATCAAATTAATTAATTTGTAAGATAAACTTTATACACAATAATTTTATTTTAATTTTGATAAAATATGAACAACATGAAATAAGAAAAAAAAAAAAGTTTATTAATTAAAAAAAAGTGTTAAACAAGTGATACTCAACAGCTGGTGGGATCAAATGTCTCACCGGTTATTGAGAGTTTCTGGTTGTTTCGTCAAAATACCAGAATAGTGTGTCAGAGTTTCTGGTTGTTTCACCAGAAACTCTGACTCACTACTTAGAAAGAAATACATGTCTTGACCAACATATCTTTCTTTTTGCCAATCCTTGCCATCCTCCTTATTATCCAAAACTAAGATTCCTTTTCTCCTCCCTACAATCCTCTGTTCTTAGCCCTTTGTTTAATTCTATTCTGAAAATTATGCAGCTTTTGAATGTTTTAACTTGAAACCAGTTTGTTGAACCTTTATGACACTGAATCTTTGCACAGAACAATTTTTTGTATGCTTGCTCATGTACAAGCATACACCATATTGTTTCATATTTAAGATTACTTTCTCCCATACCTTCAAATTTAAAATTGAGTTGTCTTAAATTCTGGATATCCTTTGCCATTCATAAAGTCTGTAGACAATGGAAATTTTATATTCTCTGTTTAATCATACTTCACTAATGTGTTTACTTCTTAATAAATTATTTTAAACTATATTTATTTGTAATTATCACCAAAATTTTTCTCAAAAAGTCCATTTTTAAAAGTGGATTGCATCTAAAATTTTTGGGAATCTTATCTTTATATATCAATACGTGGGCATCTTATCTGTCACATATTGAAATCCATTTTTTTTTTTTTTAAATTATTAAAATTTGCATTTATTTTATATTTGTTAAGAAGAAACTAATAGGTTTCTTACCGTCTGAATATATCTTGAATGAAATTCTGTTGCTTCCTTCAGAAAAGTCAATCCAGGATGAGTGTCAATGATATCCTGATAACAAACACCACATCGTTAAGGCTACACCTAAATAAGAGCCTTAAATTATTTATGCGTAAAATATACAAATATTTAACTTGCTTTATTAAAGGCTTAGTTACATTTATTATGGTTACAGAAAAAAGTGGAAGATCAAAAATCAACTACCAGTCGAAGACCAATTGCAATTACGAGATAGGAAGCTACGACAAAGGAAATTCTATTTACAAACATAAATCCTATTAACAATAACAGAAGCAAAAGTTTTAATTAGCCAAAATAATTTTTCAAATGAAGCTTAAGAACAGTGATAATTTTAAAAGTTGGAAAAAATATTATAGAAAAAAAATTATTACAAGATTTAGATTACACTTTAAGTGAATTTGAATTTTGATTCTTTTGGAACAGAATGTATTAGTTTTTAAAAGAATTTTAGTCATCCATTTATTCTTTGTGTTTGTGCCTCCAAAGATAGATTTTTGTAGTCCTAAAGTGCACAGAATGAAAGATGTGTTAATAATTATTCTTGAAACCGAGCGTTTCCGAATTTTATTGCCATGCTTTAGACTCATCTAAAGATTATCTAATGATTAAAACAAATTCATTGGTCATGAAAAATTAATTTAGTAGTAATAATTTGAGCAGGAAAGTTAATAATTATTAAGTAGTTTTTAAAAAATATTGCTTTAAAAAATATATTTTATTATTCTGAATATTTTTTTACTTTGACAACAATAAAAATTAACTTCTTTACTTTATAAAATATAAGGATGTAATTTATATTTTTACATTACAATGTAGTAACATGATGACGTTCAGTACTGGCGAATTTTTTGTGATGTGTATTTATTTTTTGTTGAATTAATAAGTCATGTATTTTTTTGCAAAATCTTTCAGGATTTAATTATAATTATAATCGATGGGATAGAAACAAATCCTGGCTCTACTTCCTGTACTACTACTGATAATATTTCAAGTCATTCTTCTACATTGGTGTATAAGCATCAACATTCTTCTAGCAAACCAAATCTCAAAAGTGCAAAATCAGATTTTTCATCTTCATCGGAATGTTGAAAATGACCTTTGCAAGCAATCTTTTCAGTTTTAGAGAACAGATTTGACCATTTTTTGAGACCAAATGAGGTCACTGCAAGAATAGAAACATTATTGGATTTACATAAAGATCATGAAGAACCTTAAATGTCTCAATTCAAAGTGAAACTGGAGTAGTTTTCTGATTTTAATGATCAAGTCCACAGTAAGCTGAACCTTAATTTATTTCATTTAATCAGCCTTGCTAGCAACTCAGGAAAATTCAATGTTATAATTTTGGGGTTACAAATTAACAACAAAAACATGTCCTGTGCTGTTCAGGAGTTGTTCTCAGTTATTTTAAAGAGATGATGATAATGTAATCTCAATAGGGAAAATTTTGAAATTAAATAGACCAGACATGTTTTTAATAGAATTGTTATCATTAAAAGGTAAGAGTATCGTGTTTAAAAATTTGAGAAATTTGCAAGACTCCGCAAAACAAAGTTAAGATTTTGGAGATTTGTGTTGGCATTCAAGACTGAGATGCAAAACCCTTATACTGTATTTTCAAAAGTATAAAGAAGAAAACAAAGTTTTTGAAAGTTGATATTTTAATATTAAAAAATGAAAAATGCCTTGACTTAGAAGCAAGCAAACTGGTAAAATTGAATTTTTTTTTATCACAAATAGATTAGTGAACAACATTGACTTATCCCACATAAAAAATTTTTTTCCTGGAATTGTCAAGGGATGTAATTTGCAAGATAAAGAATTTGTTAACTTGTTTTCCACCTTTGATATCTTAGAACTGACTAAAACTTGGTTAACTTTCTCATTTAAAACTGACTAAATTTAATTAATCTTGTTATACTGGTTTACAAGAGTTTGGCTACCAAAATTCCAGGACCTGATAGACCCTCTAGCTTGCTATTTCTATTTGTAAATAAAACTAGAAGATATTAGCTGCTCTCACCTTGTTTGATAATTTTATGGTGTCTAGGATTCACTTGAATAAAAACAAATTATCAGGTAGACAAGAGCTTGTTATTATTCTGTACCATCTATATAGTTTCATATTTAAATATTAAATTGACCAAATGGAGGATTTAACAGAATATACATTAGGAAATAAACTTAGGGTATGAATATTGGGCAATTGTGATTCCAATGCAAGAATTGATGCAGTGATGGACTGTCATAACAGTATGTTACCTTTAATGACTTCATCTGGTTATAAAACCAATCCAGATATTATTGATTTAATATAATCTAGATTGGATTCTGAAGATGGACAGGTAAGTTCAAAAACACTTAATTGTGTGAGTAAAAATAAATCTATTTTATAGTTCCAATAAGAAGAAAAGTAGAGTTAGTAAGATCTTTTAATTTATACATTATCAATAGCCACCACCCAAATGACTATGCAAATTTTTATTTTATTGCTGAAATAAGTCTCTCCATTATTGACTTGGTAGTTTTAAGCCCTAGACTAATAGATTCCAAGATTTTTTTAATGTCATGGATGACTACAATTCCAAGCATCTTTTTCAGTTATTGTGAAATTGTCTTTAGAGATGAAATATACCAAAACAATACAACTAGCCTATGCACAGGAAACCAGAAAAATTAATATGACAGCATACTCTAACATAAGTTTGATTCAGTCAACTGCAGAAAAATGTGGTATGAAACTTAAATTCAGAAAAATGAATCATCACTGTGTTTACCTGGTTTGATAATGATTGCAGATCATCTAAAACACAGAAAAATAATGCTTTAAGACAATTTCAGAAATATAAAAATAAAGAAACTCTTGAATGTATTGTAAGTTAAAAAAGAAATTTAATTCATTTAGTAATGCAAACTGGAAAAAAATAAACACTTGGAGGAAAAATATCAAAAATTTAAGAGTTTTGGACAATAATAAACAGATAAATTAACAGACCAGAGTGCTTGATTAAATCTCACTGGAAACATGAACTGAGTACTTAAAATCAAGTTAATACTTACCAACCTACTTTGACATGTTGCAAAAAAATTTTTATTCTAATTTAGATGACCCTTTTTTCCTTCGAAGAATTAAAACAACAATTGAACCAGGATCAACTCCAGGTTCTAAAAAATAATAGTAGTAGTGCCCAAACTGTGATCCCAGGCCAAATCTAGTCCATGGCACATATTAATCCATCCTGAAAAATCTCTGACACATCATTTATAAAATGATAGAAATAGACCTACTTTTAGTATATATGGAATATACAAAATATTTCTGGCCTGTGCACAATTTCACATGCCAATTGAAAAGTTTGAGTGCCAATGGAATAAAGAATGAATTTATTAAATATCTATCACAAGAGATTCTAATGTTATTAGACCTGTTTAATTTTTTTCAAGAATATGCTATTGTTTTCAACTTCATGGAATAATATTTTGTATGGAATGGAATAATAATATGTAGTATTGAAAATGATATCCAAAAGGAGACAGACTGGACCCTAGTAATTATGGACCAATAACTAAATTGTTAAATATCTCAAGAAAACTTTTCTCAACACTTCTGAAATTAGTTAAATGCTTAGCTACAGGAACCTGACATCATCATTAGATACCAAGGAGCATTTATTTCCCAAAAAACAACAGCTTATAATGTTTTTATATTAAATGAATGAAACATTGATAAAGAAACAAAGAAAACTCTACATATTATTTGTTGACATGAGAAAGGCATTTGACAATGTGAATCATTATTTTATGGGACAAATTATGTAAAATGGGAATTTCTAAATCTTTCATAGTTGTTACAAAATTCTTTAATAACTTATTAACAAATTATTACAGATCGATTTTATGCAAATTAGATGCAGTCAAATAAGGGATTGTTATAAACAGAGCCTCTCAGTCCTTTATACTGTATATAAATGACTTGCTAGAGATACTGGATCTAATGGAATTATCATGGATTGTTTAGTTTAGAGCAAGATCTACAATGTTTCCTATATGTTGACAATTTATCACTCTTAGCTGATTCCAAAGCCACATTGCAATGTAAAATCAACCTTCTACAGGAAAAAATAAAACATTTTTTGATTAATGTTCAAAAAACAGAGGGTTTAGTATTTTAGAACACTGGAAAACTACAAAAATCCAACAGAGTTTTTATTGATAAAACAAATTCAATTTGTTTTTTAGATCAAATATTTGGGAATTGAATTTTCCAGTTCTGGATTCTTTAATTATCATTTTGATTATGTTTTTATGAACATCAAACAAAAACCAAATCTACTAATTGAACTACAGACAAACACGAAGCTAAACTCTGTCAGAAATATTTTGAAACTCGATGCTATGCTTACAACTAAATTAGATCAGTATAATTTTTAAACAATATAAAATTTAAGGTGAATTAATTATTACAGAAAAGAGCCTAAATTTAAAATTAAGCATAATTATAACTGAATAAAAATATGGATATTATATTCTATTCTATTCTAAGAAAATTATTTTGTAATTAAGTCTAAAAGCATGAGAAAGTTTTAAGAATAGAATAAAAGAACATATTACAAATATATTGATCAAGTACAGATGTAAAATAATTTGTTTTAATTCATTAATCTTATTAATCAATAATTATTAACATATAGTTTTAATTTTATGTCAATTTTATGCCATAAGCACTTTATACTATATTCAACAAAAATTATTTTAAATATCGTTATTAATTTGAATTATTTAATTATTAAAATTGAAATTAATAATTTTAACCTTAACTTGTTTAAAAATATTTAAAAAATAAGAAAATTTTCATGTATTTTTCTTCAATAGATACTGATTATTTTAACAACTTTAAACAAATATTTAAAAAGAATTCTTGCTAAAAGCATTGTTTATATTCTCTTTTCTTTTTCTAATGTAAAAGTAAATGCAATATATAAACAAACTAATTCAACAAAAATAAATGTTTGCTTTATAAACATTAACAATTTATTTACAAAATTTAAAGCAAGTTAAATCTATTAACAACATACTAACAAATATAAATATCTGTAATAACATTTAATTTTTTTAAAAGTGTGGAATATATAAATATAATTAATTAATATTTAAAAAAATTTAAAGATAATAATAATTCTAAAAAATGGCATCTGTCTGATACAGTGTTGTTATTTGAAATTTGTTTTTATTTGATTCTTTATCTTAAAAATGATTGATATGTTTTGAAACAATATAATAAAAAGTTTTTCTAGTAATAAGAATTTTTTTATAAACTTTATAGAATATTTTAAATGTATTTAAATTGATCTGAATTTTAAACAAATCAAATTGGAAAATATTTTCATAATAGGAGAGATGACAATAATTTCAATTGTTAAAAATTTTAAAATTTTGAAACAAACAGATTACTCATCACATTATTCTATTGGAAAATTTAATATGATGTCATCCTTACAAAAACACTTAAACAAAAATAACAGCTATTTTTAGAGTCAAAAATCTATACATTTTGGTTCTATATATATTGATTTGTTCCTTGTCACAGTTACTTCTTCATATGTAAAAATGCATTATAAAAGAATTTAATCTTAAAAAAATAATAATAAATTTGAATAGAATATCAAATTTTGACCATATAAGATTAAATTTATATTTAATATATTTGGATTTTCTTTAGTAATTCTGACAATCAATATTTTGATTAAGAACCAGTCTTTTGAAAAGGTTACATTTTGTAATCAAAATGAAAATAAATATGTTTTAAATTTGAAAATTTTTTGTGTCTTTGTTTAAAGATCATTTTCTTTGAAAGTTTGTCTTAAATTCTAAAAACATTTCAAGAAAATTGTAAAGTCAATAATTGTTTAACATGCAAAAATTGTTTATTGGATCAAAGAAGAAATAAACATTAATTTCCTACGTTCATCAGCAGATAAGAAAGCATGAAAGACATTCAAGATCCTTTTATTTGATTACTTTTTCATTTTGTGCAAGTTTTTTTCTTTTTGTGAATTTCATTCTTGGATGAGATTGACTAGAGATCCAAAAATACTATGAAATTAATATTTATTTCTTATTTGACTCCAATAAAGCAGTGTTTTGTAATCTATTTGAAATTGAGAGTATTAGTGTTAAGTTTCTACAGTTTTATGACTAATTTTAATCTATGATATGAGGAAAACACTTATCACAGAAAGCATTAGGGACTTAAAAAATTTTTTCAAAAATAAAATTTTAGCACATTTTTTGCCAAAATCTCCATAGAGCACTTTCTAGATTAAAAATATAAATGTCTGTAAGACTTATTTAATAGTACTTTCATAGAATGGAAAGTATTTCTACTGTATAAGGTATTAAAACATATTTGAAAATTCCTAGTTACTAGGATTGCAGCAGTTACTGAAATTGTTAATGAAATATTACCAGTATATATGTAATGAATTTAAATATTCTAATTAAAATATTGATAGTCTTCCATTAGGATATGTAAAATTTTCAGTTTTAAAGATGTCAAATTAAAGAATAAAATTGTATAAATTTATAAATCTTTTTGTAATGTTAACAATAAATTTTAAGTATTAATTTTATAAAATTTAATATCAGTAAGTTATTTTACTTGTTCAGTCTGTATCTATATATGTTTCAATTCATTAAAAAAAAATCCAAAATTTTTATAACGATTCAAAATTTTGAATTTTTTTTTTAATGAAAAGGAAAATATTTATTATAATCTAAAATTAACTAATATTATGCTTAGGTTTTTTTAAATTTTCAGAGTAAACAATTTAAAATATTGAAATTTATATTTTATTATAATATCAATTATATATGAACAATCTCAAGAACCCAATGCATTAATAACCATCCAACCATCAGACAAATTAATTTAAATGTGTCTGGAAGGGAAGAGTCGCTCAGAGGTCTGGGTGACGTAACTGTTCAGTGCAGCACACAAGTGGAGGTTGCAGGTTTGACTCCTGCTCTGGGTCAATTCTTTTCTTTCAGACTATCCTAAATTACATTAAATTATAGTTACTACTTTCGTTAAAAGATGGTGCCTAATGTCTACCTCTAATTTCTAATTATTAATTGTAATATAATATTGCCCGATAAGTTTGGCTGATGGTTGGATGATTATTAATATCAATTATTAACAAGGAAAACATAGTTAATATTATTTAAAAACATTACATTTTAGGTTCATAAAATAATAATAAAAAGTTTAACTTATATTAAAATTTACTTACTTTAATCTTATAAATGCATTTTCTAAACATTTAACCTCTTAATTAAATACTTAATTCATTAAAATATATACATATGAATATACTATACACAAACTCTTTAAAATATTAAGTCAATAACCTGCATCATAGGAATAAAATCTTCAGGCAGAAGATAATTTCTTGAACCACAAGAGAGAATACAGATGAACTGAGATGGCTCATCATAACAAATATTAATTATTCTTGAAATAGAAAAAAAAAATTATTTTATTAATAAACTTCAAATAATTAATTTTAACATACAATGATTTTCCTATTCTTATTTTAAAATATAGTTTAATTTGCATTAGAAATTTGAGTTTTAATAATACATACACAATAGAAATTTAATAAACCAATATTATATATATACAGGGATATGCAAAAATAAGTACAGTGGTACCTAGGTATACGTCTGCTTTAGAATACGTCCAATTCGGAATATGTCCTGTTTGGACGAAACAAATTTTGCTCGGTATACGACTTTTGTTCAGTATACGACATAATTCAATTATACACGCCATCAATGAACAAGTAGCACTATCGGTGTACTAGACCAGACTAGACGTTCGCGGTGCAACGGTTTATAACTTTGTTAAATTTCTTCTGATTTTAATTCGTAAGTAAAATTTTATTATTTTTATTAATCATGAATCCCAAAAAGGCAAATGAAAAGCGACAGAAAACTAAAAAAATGACTAGAATTACAATGGAACTGATAAAAGAGATTGTTGAGAAATACGAAGGTGGCACGCGTGTTCGAGATTTTAACTGTTGTCTACCGTATTCCGAGAACAACGATATGGAAAATCGCGAAAAATAAAGACATTATTAAATCTGCTAACATTGCGAAAGGGATTAAATCAATTTCTAAACAGAGATCGAAGACATTAGATCATGTCGAGAAATTGCTTTTGCTTTAGATAACTGAAAAACAGTGCTGGAGACAGCGTATCAGAAGCAATTATTTGCAAGAAAGCTAAAAAGATACACGCTGATCTCACGAAAAATCAAGCAGGAACTAGCCAGGAAAGTGAGGTGTTTAAAGCCAGCCATTTTTTTTACATGAGAACGGATTAATCATTTTTACATTACTTCTTATGGGAAAGATTGGTTTGGTATACGTCCAATTCGGTATAAGTCCAAACATCAGGAACGGATTAAGGTAGTATACCGAGGTTCCACTGTATTTATTTTTTATTACGAAAAAAATATGCATATGATTACTAAGATAACTTTATTAAGTATGACACACAAATTACAATTAAGTACACACTCTTTTAAGTGTTCAAATTTTCAGCTTTCAGTATTCAAACATTCCTGTAGTAATTTCTACACTCACACACATTTCAGTGCAAAATTCTTTATTGTCAACAGTTTCTTGACATGCTTCTCTTGTGAACTGAATCATGTCATCAACAATGCATAGTTTTTGTGAAAATATTTTATTTTTGATAACACCCAAAACAACAAGTCAAATGGGTGAGGTCTGGTGTTCATGGTGGTCTCTTTAATGTATTGTAAATAAGGAATGCAAAATAATAAAGAATTCTGTATCAAACAACTATATTTCACAGATTCAAAACTGTACACCAACTTTTGCACCCATCTGTACATATATAGCCTAATATTAATATTTATAATATGATGAATAAGTTACAAAATAATGGAGAAAATGGACTAAACTGACAATGGAGATGTATTTTTTTTACAGTATTGTTGAAACAGAATTCTTAATCTTAACCTCTCTCTAGCTAAACTTTAATAAAAACTGTCATCAAAATTAATTTACATAATAGTAAAATTTACAAGAATATTTTGCTGATTTTTACTATTTTATAAATGTGTTATGATGATAGTTCTAACAGAAATTTAACTAGAGGAAGAATTCAAATTTTTTAATTCCATTAATAAAATATATATCATATGAATTTAGTACTTTTTCTCATTATTCTAAAACTCTTATATCAAATTTTAAACATATTTTTTACAAAATAATGGTTTATTAAATCCATGTAATCAAGGACATGACAAAACAATTTCACAATTTATTATTATTTCATAATTTTTACTATTGATCAGTGTATTATTTTCAAATTACAATAAATAACCATAATAAACAGAATTATTCTATAAACTATGAAATTAATATAAACACAAATCTAGTTTCTCTCTGGTTACAAATTTTATTTAGATATTAAATAGAATGTGTAACTAGTTGTTTCAGTATATAGGATTAATGAAAATTCTTCAAATTTCTCAAATAAATTTAGAAACAGATAATATTGCAAAAATAATATTTCAAAAGAATATTTTTATGAAATATTTATTCTTTTATTGCTAAATTTGTTATGAAAAAAATTACTGTAAGATGATCTTACAATTTTTTTTGCTCAGTTTAACAAAGTAAATTTATTTTAAATGATTAAATATTTTATTTAATCATTCAAATATTGATTGAAAAATATTCGTTAAAATTACAAAATCATAAAAATTGTATTTCACATATACAATAAAGCATTGATTAGCTAAAATAATCAGAAATAAGAAAAAAATGTTATTAAAAGGAAACTTTATGAACACTTATATATCATCAAAATCAATAAAAATAATAGAATAAATCTAAATACTGACATATTCATCAGTGAGATCTGGCAACCATTACTTCAAAATTCTTAATTTCGAAGTAATGGTTGCCAGATTGTCAATTTAAGTTACCTTCCTTCCCCCTCCTTTATTATCCACTGCACTACTTAACATTCTGTTTCGATGCCATACATTCTATGTGCTGTGAAACATAAAACTGTAGGGTGGATAGGGCCAGCAAAGAGGTGTAAGCCTTTTGGATGGTTTTGCTCACTTTACAGTTTGGTTCTTTTTGTAATATTTCTACAATTTTTATTTGTAATATTTCTACAGGCTTTATTTTTAACCCTTTTATCCAATTTTAACAGCAGTTATTTTAAATTTACATAATTTTTATTCTTAATTTATTTTAGTTTCACTTGTTTTACATTCTCTCTTGTTTTGATTTTAAATCTACACCATTCATCCAGAAGTCACAAGTAAATATTGTTTCAGGTAACTTTAATTTTTCTCTGAGTTTTGAACATGTGTAAAACATTAAGTTTAATACAATTTATTACCCAGAATTTATAATTGTACAAAAAAGGATTGAAGAAGTGCAAATAGCCTGAAATGCATATCCAGTCCTTTGTACAAAAATATGTGATACAAAATAAAGTCTATTCTCTTCATCATGTGTGTTCCTGTATGATAAGTTTGAAATAACAATTTTGTGCTTTTTTCCCCCCACTGATAATATTTTTACTTTATTTAAGGTATTTAATTTTACTGTAATTCTAGTATAATAGTAAAAATAGGTTAAGACATCGAAATTTAATACAAATAATGATTAATCAGACAATTTTTTCATTATTTATGAAAAACAAACATTCCTCTTTCATTGCAATCTGCAATGCTCTGATGAAACATTGAATTCAAAGTAAAAAAATACATAATATTAAAATTAATATATAACGTACAGTGTTTATGTAAAAATTTATTAGTTTTTAAAACAAATCAATCACTTATTTTGCTTTGTTTTTACATAATATTTTTTCTTTTAACTCTGCTAAATCTCTGGCTTGCTTGGATCACCATGAGACTCAAAAAATCTGCTTTGTATTACATTTCTAATCATGTCAACAATGTTTCTAATGCATCAAATGCTTCCCAGTGTCTATGCACAGTAAAGCATTTGATTCATTAAATGCCTGTGTGACTCATTAATCATGTTTTTCTATTTGTACTGTAATAAATAAAACTTAACTCTAATGTGAATGATGAGATAATTCAATAGCAAGATTACAGAAAATTGCCAACAATTGTTACTATGTAAAAACTTTATAATTTATGGAATTAGTAATCTTCTGTTAATTGATTTTTCAAATAACTGATTTTAGGATAATCAATGCTTTTCTGTCTATATAATTACAAAAAAATTCTTAAAAATATTTTAATAATTATATTAATAAGCTTTTAAAATACAACAGGAAAATTTATATAATTAAAATTTTTTGCTTTTAAAATGCTTAGCTTCAGGTTACATTAATAAAATATAAAAATTAAAGTTTAAATTTTTAAATGCATTTAAATGATTACATGCTAATGTAAACTGAAAAAAGTTTTTTTAAAAAGCTGAAAATATTAGTTAAATAAATTTTTCTTGTCCAATTTCAAAAAGTTTTTGATATTTATTACAATGTATCTGGCATAACGTAAGCTTTAATATAAATAATAATAGTAATTATTAACTAATAACACTAATTTTACTTTTGCTAATAATAATCTGTTAATAGTACCAACCAAATTTTCAAAACCACCAAAGATAAATAGAGAAAAGGAATAACTAGCTTCAATCCAGCAATTAATTATAATTAACTAACAAATATTTTCTGTTGCATTTATTGGTCATCTTTAGATTTAAAATATCCCATATTCTAAATTTGAAGCACAAAGTATCATTTAATTACAAAGTAGAATTTCATGTATAAATTTGCTTTTTGTAACTGCTCATATTCTCCCTGTTACATATTGAAGTTACTAAATGTGATCAAAAACAATGTTTGTTATTTGATGATAATTAATTGCTGCATTACAGGTTATTGTAGTCTTTTCTATAAAAATTTCATTAAACTTACTGAATTTCGTTCAGATCTTTTTTACCTGTTTTTGCATTACAAATTTTAATATTAATTTACAAAGATCTGACATTAAAGATAAATTTAGTGTAACAGCAACAGAGTTAATAGATGTAATTAGAAGCCATTATATATCCAAAATAACCCATTATTTATTATGACTTCTCAATTTAGTGAATATAAACAGAAAATTTACTATTTTCTTAAAAGAATAAAGTTTTAATAATTTCTCTCTCAAATCTATAAATATTTTAAATCATTTTCATTAACATAATTCTAATTTATAGATTATGCATATTAATATTTTTTCTTTTAACTCTGCTAAATCTCTGGCTTGCTTGGATCACCATGAGACTCAAAAAATCTGCTTTGTATTACATTTCTAATCATGTCAACAATGTTTCTAATGCATCAAATGCTTCCCAGTGTCTATGCACAGTAAAGCATTTGATNTATTAAATATTTATGATAAATTAGCAAATCTAAATAATTTATAATATAAAATTTGTACTGTTTACCAATTTTGTTTTTGGAATTAATTCAGAATGTAAAACCTACCTCTTCCAAGAATCAAGGAAAGTATCACAGCAAACAAATCCAGTTTTTTCTCCACCAGCTGCAAGAAATAATGGAATCTTCCAGTAAAGAGGAAGACCACAAGCCTAAAAAGACATATATAGTTTTTCAATTATATTTTAAAACAAATACATATATAGTGTATATCAAATATTAAACTCATTAATTTTAAAGTAATAAAATAAAAATGACTTAATTCCTTTACAATTTCATTTCATTGGCATTTAGATTTAAACTGATATTTTTTTAAAATAATATTTTAAATTTTTATATTAATTCAATTTAAAAACGTTGGTAGTTTAAAATCAGAGGAGTAACTTTAAACTGTACATGCACAACAGCAATAAATAAAGAAAAACCTTTAAAAATTAACATTTTAGACAATCTTAAATGATCGTCTACAAGTCCAGAACATGAAGAGGATTATTTAAGACAATCACAGATGTTCATTCATTAAAAATTTTTGTTGTATTTAAAGATTTTTGTTTTGAATTATATTTATTTAGTTGAAGTGATTCCATGTTCTAAAATTCCTGCTTGGAATTTATTCTAGAAAACAATGGCGGCCAATGATGATGACTGGAAAGTTTTCTTAAAAATCTTCCTGGGATTTTTTTTTGTTTATAGCTATTGGTAATTTAAAAATAAATTAATAATATAATAATTAAATGTATCGGATTAAATATTAAATTATTTTTCTTTTTAAGGAATCAGTATTGTTTAATTTATTAATTAATAAGCTAAAATACTTAAAACAAATTTTATTACTTTAAAAAAATTATTTCTATACACATTTTATATTGTATTTTAAATGGGATTTTAATTATTATATATATATATATATGTATATATATGCAGATAATTTTATTATATGTATATAATAAAATTATCTGCATGTTTTTTACTTTCAAATATATTCTAAACACATTTACCTTTGCAATTATTCCAAACTGTTCCCTGAGAACTTTACGTTCAGGGAAATTAAGGAAAGTGGCCGTTATCTTTCTCAGCTGTTCGTCAATTGCATATGTTGATTTTGGATGACCGTGAGGAAAGTAAAATCTTGGAATATTGATAGAACATGATGTAATGTCTGGTGGAAGTTGATACAAGCTGGAGAGATGAAGCTGAACATTTTCTTTATCTTTATAGTTATATAAAGACTGAAAAATTTATTATAATAATTATTTTTTAGCAGATTTTATTAAAATTACAAAAAAAATAATCAATTATTTCATGTGAAAACTTTTAACAAGCATATTTTAAATAAATATGTAGTATTTTGCATCTAGATAATAATGAGAAGGTTTTATTAATAATTAATCATGTAAGCCTTCAAGGGAGGCATTCACTAATGAGAAAAGCAAAATAACAAAGTATTTTGCTAGCATATGGCATTTAAAATCTTTTAAAATGATAATTTAATTTGTTTTAGTACCAAAACAATTACATGTTATTTGGTATTTTTATAAAATAAATCTAAATTACATACATATTTTTAAATTAAACATCTTTTTTGAACAAAATAAGATCATTTTAAGTCCAGAAGGTTAAGTTAAACAAACAAAATTCAACCTTGATAATAATTTATTCCTCAGATTATACTTTTAAAATATTTTAAAGATATTAAATCAATTTTAAATAGATGTATAATTTTTTGACTTAAAGTTTTTCATTTGTTAGATGTTTTTGAACCTGAAATTGTAGAATTTACTACTCGGAAAACTATCCTCTTAACCCGTTCAGTGTATAATTCATATTGTGTTATTTAAGCTTGAACTGTAATAGAATAACAGCAATCTATTTTAAAAGATTCAAATTTTATGATAAATAATTCAATGTTTAATTCTTAAAGTGTTCTTCATATAAGGAAGTGACAAAATATTGTTTGATTAAGGCAAATGAATCTTTGGCTATCCTCTGCCATGAAATGAAGCAATCATTTGCTTTATAATAATATTTGAAGAACTTTATGAATCATATAAATCTATTGATGAAACTGTTTCTGATTCATTTAAAATTTGTTTTATGATATTTAATAATTTGAAATTCAAATTAGACATAATGACCTTCAATCTAGCAGAAAATTACAACTACATTAAAGATTATTTGTTCTTCAGTTTGAACCTTATAATGGTCAATTAAGATGATCAAAAGTATCAGTTCATTGCAAATTATGGCTAGACTAAAGGTTATCGTCTTCAATTAAGTCATCCAATTTAAATATTTCTGGATTCAATTATTAAATTATACAATAATTTAATAATTTAAGAAATAAAAAATTATTAAATATAAAATTACTTTCACATTTAACAATTTTCACAAAACAAAAATTATTATAATTTATTTTCTCTTTTATAATAAACTGCATTTCAGTTACATAAATTTACTTCTATTTTAAATCAACTGACAAAGATTAAACAGAAATTCAGATTTGTTTTTAATTTTTTAAACATAAATGTCTTCTCTCTAAATTATTATGGAAGAAAACTAGATTATGACTGTAAAAATTATTTAATCTTCTATTATATTATCTTTAAATTTATTTACAGTATTCTATTGCATTTATAAGTGTTCTTAGCCAAAAACATTATCTGAAGATCAGATCTAATGGACTTTGAAAACAGTAATCAGTTAAGTTCTCTTTGATTTCTTATGTATGAAATAACTGATAACAGATTCTGAATAACTTGACTAATTTATAATTTAACTACAATAAACTCTTGATATAGTGACTGCTCAATATAGTAAACAATATAATTGGTCCTTGCCATTCTTTATATACACAGTAAACTCTTGATATAATGATTGATTTAATTCAGTTCTTTGACAATTCACTCTATCAGGATTCCACTGCATAATGAACAAGTAGCTTGTGCTGCAGTTCTACTACAAACAGTAGTTTTTAATTAATTATAAATTACTGTGCACTCTCGCTAATCTGAATTAATTATTGCATAGGGTCATTTGGATTAGTGGGAGTTGTATAACAAGGACTGCAAAAAAAAAATTTGACATTTTTAAAAATTAATCTGCAATTTCTTTCTATTTTGGTTAGAATATCAATAGCAAAAATAAAATAAAAATATTGGTTTGAATCTGAGATATTAATAATATACTGTAATTTAAAATATTTGAATAAGATTCATTTATAGAGGAAATCATTTAAGTTACTTTAAAATCAACTCTCTCAAAGAATTGCATTCCAAAATTTTATTTTTAACTGTTAAAAATATCTGAAGAGAAACGATTTTAACGGTAATGATCAAGGAAAAAGTATGCGACAAAAATTCACTTCCAAAAAATGCTTCATGAATGATTAATAAGAAAGTTATGAATACTTTTATAACAAATATTTTATTCAATCCTTTGATCTAGTTTAATTTGCCAAATATAACACAAAGAAAACCATATAACTTTCAAATCCCAATATTGAGGTCATATTAATTAGAGCTATTCAAAAACCACAATTAATTTGATTCTATTCTTGAATCTTCTGATTATAATTGTACATATTGAATTCTCTTCTTAGAAAGATGTTAAAAAAAACTTTTACTTTCAGATTAATTAAATTAATAATAATGATGTAAATGAGCTGCAAAACTTAATAAACAGCATCAAAATATAAATCCTTACATAAACTGGATGTGTAACAAAGAAAAATTATGTTTAAAAATGAACAAACAAGTTGACAAATCTGAAAGTGTAGATCTTATCGCATATCAAAAATTATTCCATAAACAAACAGTCAAATGAATTTAGTAATTCAACCAGTTATGCATTTGACATAAATCGAATAACCAGGATAGGAGCCAAATTCATGTCAAAAATAAAATTAAATAGAATTTAATTGATTAAATTAAAATTTTTATTTTTTCTTAGACTTTTTTCCTTAAGTAGAATGAACATATGGTTTGTGTTTTAAGACTTGCACTTTAAATACTATATGCTTATTAAGAGTAATAAAATTTAGTCAAAAATTCATTAAAAAATTATCTTTTAACTCTCTCCACTCAGCAGGCACTGAGAAGACAAAGTAGTATATATATATATAAGAAAATTTTTTTTATTTGTCTGATAATGTATGTTACAAATCATCATTGCCAGTTTAAATTTTATTATATTATTTACTTTTTAGAAATTTTTTCATAACTTATCGATTTTTTAAAAGATGTTAAATAAAAATTTGAATATATAAATCGTCAATAATTGGGGAAAAAAGAAAAAAAAACATCATCAAATTATACTTGGAATTTCATTACATTTCTGTTTGTTTCCTAAATTGCAATGTTAGGAAACTTTTTAAAATTTATGAGGAAATTTTTTGCATGCAACATATTAAAACATGACCTATTAATCATCAAAACATTGATTAAAAAAGAAGCAAGCTATCTTAAGGAATTATTGACAGAATATTTTTCGGGTGACTTGGAGTACAGTTGAATGACTCCTACTTTTACGATTCCACATTACTTTATTTCCTTCATGTTCAAGATAGCTGTTGTATGCATCTACCAATGCTAAGTGCAAAACAGTTATTTTTATTACTAAATTTATAATTTAAAAACAATAAAATATTTATTGCTTTTCATTTCCGAACAAAAAAAAAACTCTTGTTTCTTGCCTATTTCTTAAATTTTCATACACTATCATCGTTTCACTTTGTCCATTTTCTCTAAAGTAACAAAATATTACTTCTAGTACTTGTTATTCAGCGGTTTCTTCTATGATTTTATTTATAGAATGTTATGAATTATAAATTAATTATTTAAAATAAATTATAAATAATTCATTTTAAAAATTTACTTTGTTTTTTTTATTTAAAAGTTTGTTAAAATAATATATATAAATAATAGATATGTTATGGACAAAGTGATTAATCGGGCATTATNTATATATATATATATATATATATATAAACTTTCCTTGTGTAAATAAATAGTTTTTACTCTATTGAAAAATTAATAAAGCTAGATTTCATATTTCTTTTGTATTATTCCAGATTAATATAAAAGTTCTAGTTAGCAGTGATTTGAATCTGAATTACTTTTGATGCCTACAACTTCTAGAAAACACACTTGAAGCTAATTCTTAAGTAATATGAACTAGGAACACACAATATAAGACAAAAAAATCAAACTATAAGCCACATGACCAAATTATATATTAGCATTAATCTCATTTTATTAAAAACTTTTGATAAATATAATAATTTTTTAATGCCAATATAAACTAATAGTTTGAAACATCTACAAAATTTGCATAGAAAACAATCACAAATTCCTATTTACATATATTGAAAATAAATGGCATTAAAATAATAAATTCAAGAACTTCAATGTAAAATAATATTGGGAATAGACAAATATTTTAATAATAGCCAAAGTAATAAAAATACCATTTTATCACTATTGAGATCATTGGCTCAACTTTTTAGAGTCACTAACTTACAGATATGGATCTAAAACGGGTCAAAAAACTATGGCCCGTGAGGTCAGTTCATCCGGCCTGCTGCCACACCATGCCACAAATGAGATAAAATATAATTATTTGTATGGAAATATCATGGATTGTAGATGAACTTACTACATAGAAAAAATTAAAATAAGTGCAAGTAAAAATGCCAGAAGTGGTCCAATATTATTTTTGCATCTGACAGTAATATAATTTTTAGGAAAATCAGTGAAATAAAAAATTCAGCAACTTTGAACATCAGAGTGCTTTTTGTGTAAGTACCTGCAAGGAAGTTTCAAAGAAAAAAAGTTTATGAGCTTGCTGCAGCAATCGTGTTTGTGTATTGGTAAATAAATATGTCGATTGTCTTTATTTTTTGTGTATTCAGTATAATGTATTGACCAAAATAGTTATGTGACCTAGTGCTTGTCATTCCTTCAGTTATGCAGACCACACTGGTTTATATATATATATATATATATAATGTAGTAGCACACTGTGAAAAAAGTTTGGTGACCCCTGATCTAAAACAAAAAAATATTAGTAAAGGCTTGTTCAGATACACACAGTAATTTGGTAACTTACCATGTGCAAATAATTAAATTTAGTCAAATAGTTTAGTGAAATGATTTACTAAACTATTTTTCCAAGCCAAGTAGCAGTTTCTCCCACCATCACTAACCAATTAAACACATCCAAACAGGAATGTTTTCACTTGAGTTCATTAGTTTGCTATTTTCTATAGTATTACTCAGTCAGTAGCAAATCCAGAAGTACCCAAAGGAGACTTAAGTCAAAAATTTTAAATATTTGCATACTTAGTAAAGTTTGACACCTTTCATCGTTGCACAACAATTGCATTGTGGATGGTCCAACAAATCATATTTGCCATCGTAAATGTTTTTACAAACAACATTTAGAAGTTTTCACAAATAAATTTTAAATTTTTGTGTAGACAGAGAGGGCTTAAGTCCTGTAGTCTTCTCATTTCCACTGTATTTAGTGCTGCACAAACATTTAAGTCTGTTCATCTCTAAGCTCATTACATGCTCTACTGTACTAGTCCAGACAGTTTAGTAGGAAGTAGCTACTAACCACTGACAAACTTACTAAATTTATCTGAACAAGCTTTAACAAGCAGAGACAGGACACAAATGCCTGAAAATTAGCACAGTCCCATGACTCCAGGACAGTGGTGTTTTTCAATCATTTTCACATTGCAGACTGGTGAACCAAGTAATTATATGTGACTACAAATTACATTTATTTATTACACTTACATATGCTTACCTAGAATACCATTTAAATGTCACCAATAATCATCTTTACAGCCTTCAGTACAGTCAAATGTATTTTGGCAGACCAGCACCGATCCACGAACCCACAGTCAAAAAACACCACTTTGGATTCGAGCCCAAGCGGTCCCAGCGGTCCCAGAAACTTTCACGGACCGGGGAACCATGCCAGGAAGACCCAGTTTTACGGATGGGCAGTCGAAAAACACCACTCCGGTAGACCCGAATCCAAGCCAGAGTGCTCCTGAAAGTTTTTGCAGACTGGGGAACAGTCTTTCCGGTACGGTTCCTCATCATCCACCCCATTAAAGATCTGGGAAAATTCCCATCTGCACCCACAACACAGAAAGAGTCAACGTCGACCATCATAACCCTGCTTTCACAATAAATTTGCCAAGAATAAATTTTGAGCTAGAACAGGACTCATAACTAGAGAAAAATAAATTTGTGGATTTTATTATTAAGTCATTTATAACCGCACAAATATGCTACGTTGGCGGTTTCCAAAGCGGATGCCGCCACCCCCGAAAAGCAGCGAGTAAATCCAAGGGCCAATAGAGCAGAATGGCAACCACGGGCAAGAGTCGGGCTCACCGACGACCTCTCCCTTTCCTCCTCTAAAACGGGTAAGAAGAAACATCGCATTTAACAGTTTCCGGACGACGTCGACCTTCAAACGTACGGTAGAAACGCAGCATACAAGGTCGGTAGAAAATCTCCACCAAGAATACTTCCAAACCTTTCTCCCCCAAGGGAAAAAGGGCGGGCGGCTCTGGGTGCCGAGTCTACAGAACCGAGGGAGCGGCGGCTCAAAAAAACTTTGGGAACCGCCGAGTCACATAATAAACCTAAACGGCTTACTCAGAGAATTTAATCGAATTGGCCATTAAAAACAATTTGAAGTGTGGGCCGTATATAGCAACTTAACTCGTACAACTACGCAATTACCGGCGTATAATCGCGCTTCGGGTATAAGAATTTGCACGGGTTTCCGGTATCGAGTCTCGGAATTCGGCAACCCGTGCCAAAATGCCGCGTAGGAGCGTATCCACGTCCTCTCGAATGCCAAAAAGCACTTATGAATGGAGGTTTAACGTTATATAATAAAGTCGTCTGTTCGTCATAACACTCACCTCGCTTCGTATCTGTCCGACGAGTGCCGATAACCTAACGCAAACGGTCAATGGCCAAAGTAATACCGAAGTAAACTGAAAGCAGACGGTAGCTATCAAAATAACCATCCGACAAACAACTGTCATCACACGGATTAAAAGAAATCATTCCATAAACTCCATATTCCGCCAGACGATAATCCCGGCGTATCTAGGATGGTTACCATAGCAACCCAAACATGGTCTCCGCAGTATTGTGGGAAAAACCACTACCGGGCGAATGCGTCATCGACCTTATTTCTATTATTATTATTATTATTATTATTTTTTTTTTTTACTATCTTAAAAATCGATTACTGTTTTTATATAATAATAATCCTCTTTAGTATAAACGTAATAATAATTTTAAAAAAATATATTATCTTCTGCACTACCGAGAGAAATAATAAGTGTGTTATTAAATGACGTAATGTAAAATGTACCCCGTATAAATTGTTTTATTATTAACTTTAGGAGTGGTAGAAGTATTAATAAAACGTTATTNTAGTATAAACGTAATAATAATTTTAAAAAAATATATTATCTTCTGCACTACCGAGAGAAATAATAAGTGTGTTATTAAATGACGTAATGTAAAATGTACCCCGTATAAATTGTTTTATTATTAACTTTAGGAGTGGTAGAAGTATTAATAAAACGTTATTTTAGTAAATTTAGGACGCCGTTTTTCCTTTAATTCCAATAATCAAACGTTGCGGAACGATAGTAAACGGCGCTTTTCTATTTTAATATTCTTCGTTTCGATGATCTGAATATTAAAAAATGTAGTGTGACGTAATTTCGATGTCATGGGAATTTAAATATTTGAATTTGACCACGTGGTTAAGGAGTGATGGGATAATTACGACGCTACTCACCTGTGATTTATGCTGCTTTTATTAGCGGTTTTTTACATTAGTAATTGCACGTTATGGCGCTAAATCGGGGCATGGTTGGAATGGAAAAAGTGGTTGTGACGTCACGCAATTTTAAATACTGTACTGTATTCGAATTTAACCACGTGACTTAGAGAGTAATACGGTAATTACGATACTACTCACCTGTGATTTATGTTGTTCTTGTTTATTAACGAGAAGGGCGGGCTTAATCTTAGTAGCTGTACGTTCGAGCGCTAAATCGGGACATCGTTCAAATTGTAGGACACGTTCGGCGACCGATCCTTTGCTTACTAAATTGTGACCGTGACGTTCTACTGGCGATCTTTCTCTTATGTGTTGCTTCTGAACAGATGTTAATTTGGGGTGAGGAATTGTCGTGACGTTCGACTTGCGCGTGTCACACGAGTTAGACTTTTCCAGTCCTTGAAACTTGGAGGACGTTGTCCTTTCTGGCACTTGGGGTACAATTCTTCTGTAAAGATCTCCATTGGGTTCCGTCGGATTTTGATGGTTCCTGTCGATTTTATCTTCTTTAGAAGACACCCGAATCTTGCTCGGTTTATAATCGATGCAATTCGAGTTCCACGTAACGCTATTTAAGGGTGTGGATCTGTCAGATTTGATGTGATTTTCGTTGAAATATTCTTTATCCCTCGTTACAGCGTGTTGCTTGGGTGTTGTTTTTTGAGTCTCCTTCCTGATTTTGTCCGTCTGTACAAAATTACTAACTACATCCCTCAATTGATCTTCGATTTCGCTGACTAACACGTCCCATGGGTCGTTAGGACGCGTGACAGCCGGAGGGAGCGAGAAAGGAGGAAGTTTTAACAAAGGTGAACAAAGTCCGTAATGTACTGCGTGACATTCCGAACTGGATAACTTCGATGGATCCGGACAACAGGGCTCGTGCTCCAACGCATGCACGGATCTACTACGCGATAGGTCAACAAGGGCACAGTTATACCACGTGACGCGAGATACCAACACTGTACATCCAGCACCGTCCTGATACATCGTTACATCTTACGGCGAGTGATTTCTTACAAAATGCGTCGTATCACCATTGATCCTATAGGGTAACTAAGGGAATGCCCCGACCTCCGTATATGGTAACATCACTGGTTAACTTGTTGGCTTAACTCCAGGTTTAATTTTACATCTGGCTCACACGGGGACACACACATACACACAACTCTCTAAAACGACAATCTCTCTCCCTCTCCCGCGTCTTGTCTGTAGGCCTGACCTCCAGGGAGGGCGGAGTTGCAGTCACTCCCTCCCACACAAACGGTCACATACAGGCAATCAACAACCATGTGAGGGGCTAATTGTCAAGCTGGTGAGAACTGCTCCATTCAGTCTAGTAGTGTGTTGCTATGTACTTTTAGCCATTACGGGGTGTGTGTGTATATACGTCTCGTTATCGACGCTTTAATGTATTGTTAAAGTTCACTAACTGCTCGTGTAATTTCGTACTTAACAAAAGATTTCATTTCGTCTACTTCCGGTACCATTTTTATATTCTAATAAATCGAAAATAACATTTTAAATACATTAGTGGGTGGTCCGACTACGTCCTTGAGATCCTGTTTTCTGTGACGTTTCATTTTTTGATATTTACTACCAGATACTGGATTTTATTCGCATTTTTTTTTTTCTTTTTTTCTCTCAAATATATTTTCGCCAGCCAACCAATGATGAACTATTTGGCAACAGACATTCTTCTATACACCCCTCTGTGGGGGTGAAACTGGGGCGTATACACAAATGGAGATTTTAGGACAGAAAGCAGGTGCGTCTTAACAAGTAATATATTCGTAAATGACCGAAAAAAAACACGGAAAAATTTACTTTTTACGTTACTTTTCACATGAAAATTTACTTATAATGGAAAATGTCTGTCCGTCGATCGAGTCTGGACACCACGACTAAAATTAGTAACGGAAAAAAAAAGGGGATCTATTAATGTCATACTAGAGATAATTTTGTTTTTTTAGCAGTTACTTCCGTGTTAGATCTCGATTGTTTGCACATTTTGCAAGCAAATTCTTCCTCTAAACGATCATTTTTCTTGCGTAATTTATTATTTGTCGACTTTTATGCATGACATACAATTTTTTTTTTAAAAAAAAAGGAAAATTTATTAAGAAAATTACCATTATAAATTTCATATTTAGCTTACATCAATGAGATAAACAGTTATTTGTACCTACAACTCACACATGTATGTAGAAAAAAAAAATGGTTAACAGGTTTATTTTGATATTTAAAATCATTGTGTGTCATTTTCTACTTGTTCATTTTCATCAAGTAAAATAACGTTAAAGCTATAAGTGTGAAGGATGAAAATAACCCAGTTGATCCATTGCATGATACTCCTACATAAAAATAAAAATTTGTATTGTATTTAAATGGTATTAAACTGGTTTTAATGAGTGTCGAAAACTGAAACTTTACCTTCGTGCCTTATTGTAAACTTAATCTGATCGAAGGTTTTACATTCTTTATCTATGGGGAAAACCATTTGTAAAGTATTAATATAAGTCAAGTAATTAGATATAAATGATTAATGAATAACTTACCTAAACACTTTGCTTCGTGACTACCTGTGTCCTTTCCTTCTATGGAAAAGTGGAAAGGATCGCAGTTGTATACATTTTTGCCTAGATTTAAAAGGAAAAAAGAAGCTTAATTAATTTAAAGAATGCAGTGCTAAGTTTAAATATGTGTATTTTTTTTACCATTAATCATTAAAGGACAATGATTTTAAAAAATGTGTTTCGTTAAGATATGTTTGTATGCATTTAAAAATTTCATACAAAGATATCTCAATGATACTCTACTGCAGTTAATTATTGATAAATAAAGTTTAAATATCAATTAATTAAGATATATTCTTGACAGTAATTAAAAGATATAAAAAATCCATAGACTGATGAGGAAATTTATCATTAAATTTGGAAATGAAATGGTCAGAGAATAAAACAGTTGCAGAGATGAAATTTTTGAAATCAAACATGGATATTTGAGACTAAAAAAGTAAAATAGATGTTAAATACAAGAAGAGCTAGGAGCTAAAAGTGTTGTTCAGAAGTATATTTGTAGATTTGGAGTACCTGGGGGGTAATGAGATATATATATATATATATATATATATATAATGTGCATGTTTTAATAGCATACACTAGTACAGTGGGTTTCTTTTAACATTTCCAATATTTATATCAGCATAGTATTTAACAACTTATCATTAACAATTTTCTAATTATATACTGTCTATAGAAGAATTCTTAGAAACCTTTCTCATTTAGTGCCTTAAACATATGTCTCCTCTGCCCCTCTCTCACTAAGTTCAATGCAGACATAGTGAAAGAGGGGCAGAGGAGATATATGTTTAAGGCACTAAATGAGAAAAGTTTCTAAGAATTCTTCTGTAGACAGTACAGACAGTATATCTGAATTTTAGGAACAGAATGTTCTCCTCCAAATGAAGAGAGTTCAACTTTTCCATGTGCTCTCTTCCAGATGGAATAAGGATAAGTAAAGAGAAATGGCCAAAACTATGGCCTGATAAGATAAAGGTCTATACATAATATGTAGATGAATGAAAAGAGAAACATTTAAGCCACCATAGAAAGCTTGCTTTTTAATTTGTACAGATAAAAAGAAGAAAAGACCTTTTAATGATAATAAAATTGAAAGCTATAAATTATATATTATAGGTTTTAGAAAGAAATTTATATTATTTATGGTATTATTGTGCATTATAATAGTTTAATTGATATAATAATATATTTATCTTTCATAATATCCATTTTTATGATGGATTACAATAGAATTACAGCAATAGAATGAACAATGTGATTATATAAAGATAGCATCATCATCTGAGATAGAACAATAAAAATATATTTAAGGAATAGCATTAAATTTACTAAAAAAAACCATAAAATTGTAATAAAATGCTCTCAGTTTATTGAAATATTTTTCTCAATGCTACACTCTATTTATTCTTATATAGCTGTATATGTTTTTTTCCTTTTACAAATCAGTGAATCTACATTTATCTTTACTTTATCTGGATTCAATATATCATATATNCTGAATTTATAATTTTTATTCATTCAAATATTAAAAAAAGACGTTATATTATTTTTAACAATAATAATTTTATCAGTAGTAATAAACAAAAAATAGTAAACTAAGTTAAAAACATCTAACATAAATTTTATTTTATTCATTCATTTAAATTATAATTAAAAATAATCTTAATTAATGTTTTAAAATAGAAAAGTGTGCTTACCACGATGTTTATTTTTCAGTTCCCAATAAGCATTTTGAAAATTACGATCTTGTTTTAATGTTTTAGCATAATTAAAGTACACTATAGTCTGCCAAAACATAAATAATAATAAATTTACAAAAATTATAATATAGTTCTATACAAAAATAAAATATAAATTAGAACTGCAACTGATTATTTATCTTTTTAAGAAAAAAAAAACTGTTTTTAAATACAGTATAGTCCAAATTAACTAAGGTCCATTTAACTGATGTGAATTGTAGAAGAGTATTTTGTCAACAAAGACAAAATACTCTTCTTGGTTGCTAATGAAATTAATTAACAGTGTTCTATTGTATAATTTAAAAGTGATTGCATTCAATAGTAAATGTAATCTGAAAATAAATCAGCAACAAGTTGCTCAACTTTCCTGGCAACATTTATAATTTTGGTGGCATCATCTGTTATCATATTTTATTTTTAAAAACTTTTTATATTTTTAACTATTATAAAATGGCAAAAACCTTAATTTTGAGGGTAGGATGAGTTTTATAAAAAAAATTGTAAATGAGTAAAATTGTCATTAAGTCCTATCCTACTGGAGATACACATGATCCCCATTATCTCCCCACTCCTTGATTAAAGAATTGCCAAAATTTAATAGCATCAATACCCCTAATAAACAAACCGCCTTGCAAAATTTCAGAAACTTTTGAGGAGTTATTAAGCTTCAAAGAGGGTAAATAAAATTGTGCGATACACACATACTGTACACTTAACATCCATACATACAGAAATTATCCCCAATTTTTTTTTTGCATTTCTTGACGTTTCAAGATGTCCTAAGTCCAAAAATGTAAAAATGTAGGGTTCATTTTTTTACCAATTGCCATACTTTCCTTCTGTTATATATAACAGTTTGGAATGTAATAATGTATATTGCATGCGTTAATGCATCCAAATCCAGTTCATTTAATAATTTAAAAAACATTCTACGTTATATAGGTTTTTGGCTATTCGAGGGATATTCTCAGTCAGCATTACCTTGAATGATTGGGACCTACTGTGTATATTTGTGTATGTATGTAATACATATATTGTTCAAAATAGTTATCAAATATTGCAATATCAGATTTATTTTATATAAAATTTAGCATTCTATGCATTAAAATGTTGCGATTTATGTATAATACAATGAAAATTTACAATAAATTTCCAGATATCTGTATCTTTTCAATGCCACAAACATATACTACTGTTTTAATAACTGTAGAATGTCATCATAGTTTATAAGAGTTTCAAAACAATCTTTTCTAATTTACATTGTTCAAATTAGATAAATTATTATTTAAATAAATAAATATATATTAAGGACTTCATTAACATTTTATCACATATAATGAACTTATAATAAAATTTGGAGTATAAAATTTAAACTTTTATAGTAATCATTGAAGTTTTAATCTATTTTTAATTAAAACATTTTCTTTTATTTATATTCTACCTTTCCAGGAACCCCTCCAGAATGTGATCTATCCAATTCATAGTCCGTTAACATCTTATATAATGATTGTAGTACATACGTTTCATCAACTTGCGAAAAACCTGTAAATTTGTATAAAAATTTATGATATTTTTAATTTATTTAATATCTTAAATGAGGAAACTTATAAAATTTAAAATTGAATATAAAAATAAAAAGCTTATATAGTTTACAATCAAGATAAAGATTTTGATTACTTAACTGATGTAAATAGATTTATACTATTTGTAATGTATATAATGTTTCAATATAGTTATAATAAATCATATCTAAGTTTAAATCATATTATAATATTGAATGATATGAATTTGATTAAAAATAATACAAATCTGTTAATACATCTAAGAAAATTAAATGCTTGGATAGAAAAAATAATGATCTAATCCATAAATAATTGTTTTTTAAATACAATACATCTTGATGTAGTGCCCTCCAAATCAGCATCATCCTTGTAAAGTACCAATGAATACTTGCAATGAAATCTACATAAATATTAAATATGCAACATCTTTCAGTATCTATGAATTACTGAATGCTAGAGATTGGCAATAGTTAACCACTAATAAAATTAAATTATGTAGTTAATTACTCTAGCTATTTTTCATTCACTATAATGTTGCCTTGTTGTAATCGATTATATTAAGCAGAGCAAACACTTCTTGACTTTTATGGAGCTGGCTTCAACTTTTTTACTCATTTGAGAAATTGTATCATTTGAAATTTTTATATTGCCATTTGATAAAATTCAAATTCAAACAGAAACAATCAATCAGATATTATGTTTCTCCAAAAGCATGTGAAAGAAAATGCATGGCTTGTTATGTAAGTATAAATCAAGTTATTGTTCTATTACTTAAATTGAAAAGACAGTCTACAGGAATTTTCATGTAAAATCAGGAATTTAGAAAATAAAAGCATTAGTTTGAATGAGCTCAACAGGGACTGAAACTACTGAACACTGGTTTCAAGTTTGCCTGTTGTCAACAGGCTGGCCGCATGGAGTTTTCTGGGTTTTCTTCACGTCACTAGTACTTTCAACTATTTTCAACTTTGTATTACATTGCTGTTTATACTAGTTAACTAGGTAGTTAATGTCTGTCATTACTAAATGCATTATATATGACATCATCATCAGATCATATGGCCTCATTAATATATATACAGTAATACCCCGAACTTACGCGATAGGTGGGACCAAGCGGTAACCACGTAAGTCAAATTCGCGTAAGTCGGGGTATAATTTCGCATATAAATACATACAAATAATTTTTAATTGGGGCCAGGAGACTAAAGAAAACAATAATTTAGAAAAAAATGTTTAATAAAATCCTAGATAATACATATGTATAACAAATTAGGCTATATTATTTTACAATTTTTCACATTCACTTGATTATTACGCCATAATTTTAACATTGTTTCCATCTCAGCGATAATACTGTGACGTTTAGGAATGATGCTTGAATTTAAAGATTGAGCATTTCTCACAGCTTCGAGAATTTTTTCTTTCCTTTTATAATTGTTCCGTCAATTCCGGTAGATCAAACTTCTTTGCCAATTCACAAATTTTCATTTTTGTATCAAAGTCTTTAATAATTGATACGTTCGTAAGTCAAACAAGTTAAACGCGTTAGTAACAAATCGTTCGAAAAGTCTAATGAAATAGGAATAACGATGACGTCATTCTCGTTTAACTTGTTCGACTTTACGAACATATCCAATGTTAACTTTACATTCCAAAGATAAAGTTTTTCTTTTCTTGTTTGATGCAGAAGAATTAGTTCTACTTCGTTTGGATGACATAGTAGAGTCTCTCGAGTCTCCGTAGANTTTTTGAAATCAAACATGGATATTTGAGACTAAAAAAGTAAAATAGATGTTAAATACAAGAAGAGCTAGGAGCTAAAAGTGTTGTTCAGAAGTATATTTGTAGATTTGGAGTACCTGGGGGGTAATGAGATATATATATATATATATATATATATATAAAATGTGCATGTTTTAATAGCATACACTAGTACAGTGGGTTTCTTTTAACATTTCCAATATTTATATCAGCATAGTATTTAACAACTTATCATTAACAATTTTCTAATTATATACTGTCTATAGAAGAATTCTTAGAAACCTTTCTCATTTAGTGCCTTAAACATATGTCTCCTCTGCCCCTCTCTCACTAAGTTCAATGCAGACATAGTGAAAGAGGGGCAGAGGAGATATATGTTTAAGGCACTAAATGAGAAAAGTTTCTAAGAATTCTTCTGTAGACAGTACAGACAGTATATCTGAATTTTAGGAACAGAATGTTCTCCTCCAAATGAAGAGAGTTCAACTTTTCCATGTGCTCTCTTCCAGATGGAATAAGGATAAGTAAAGAGAAATGGCCAAAACTATGGCCTGATAAGATAAAGGTCTATACATAATATGTAGATGAATGAAAAGAGAAACATTTAAGCCACCATAGAAAGCTTGCTTTTTAATTTGTACAGATAAAAAGAAGAAAAGACCTTTTAATGATAATAAAATTGAAAGCTATAAATTATATATTATAGGTTTTAGAAAGAAATTTATATTATTTATGGTATTATTGTGCATTATAATAGTTTAATTGATATAATAATATATTTATCTTTCATAATATCCATTTTTATGATGGATTACAATAGAATTACAGCAATAGAATGAACAATGTGATTATATAAAGATAGCATCATCATCTGAGATAGAACAATAAAAATATATTTAAGGAATAGCATTAAATTTACTAAAAAAAACCATAAAATTGTAATAAAATGCTCTCAGTTTATTGAAATATTTTTCTCAATGCTACACTCTATTTATTCTTATATAGCTGTATATGTTTTTTTCCTTTTACAAATCAGTGAATCTACATTTATCTTTACTTTATCTGGATTCAATATATCATATATATATATATATATATATATATATATATACGAACAAGTATTTTATGATTTCAATCTTCAAATAGATAATGAACAAAAAATTAGATGATTCTTTCAAAAAGCTTTTTCATAACTGAAATATATTTTTATAAATTAATCTAGAAAGACTGAAGCAAAGAACCAGCCTATTACTCTGATGGCTGTCTGCACCAACACACTTAATCTACAGACTAGAATTAGACCTAGAATCAATAAAAAATACACATTGCACTGACAAGATAATCTGGGAAATTAAATTTATCTAAAAAATAGAAGGAATAAAGTTGTTAGCGTTCAGATTAAATGCAATGACTGTAATGTATTATAAAAATAAGACTAGAATGAAATAAGTCATTCCTTCATTATGCAGAGCAATAATCTTAGCGTGTGTAAGCGCTGCCTTTAAACAACATACTTTAGATTAACAAAGAAACTTTTCAGAATTGTAACATGGGACTCTCAATTTTGAAATGACCATCACACATGACAAGCACCCATTATACAGGGTGTCCCAGAAGTCTTTCCCTGATTACAAACATGCAGAAAGCAGAAAATATGACACATAGACACATATCTTTTATTTTGAATTACAGGTAACATATTCAAGTTTTTGTGTGTACATACATACTCACTGTTACTTTGTTTGTTACAGAACAATCACAGCCAATACCTATCTTGATATGTTGCAGTTATTTGTTGTGCCACAGATTCAGGACATTTCTGGACTTAATTTTCCAACAAGATGGTGCGCCAACTCATTGGGAGTTAGATGTTTGTGCCTATTTGGATACAGCATTTCCGGGAAGATGGATCGTGTGTGGTGGTCCCATCAACTGGCCTCTGCAATCACCGGACATAACACCACTGGATGTCTTCCTTTGGGGTTATGTCAAGGACCAGGTTTACCAAACACCAGTGAATGACATCGCAGCATTATGGCGCAGAATTACTGACGTCATAACATCCATCCCTCACAATATGTTGACCAACACATAGGTGGAATTGGAATATTGCCTGGATATCCTTCGAGCAACGAAAGGAGCACACGTCGAAATTTATTAATGAGTATGTATGTACACACAAAAACTCGAATATGTTACCTGCAATTCAAGATAAAAGATATGTGTCTGTATCATATTTTTTGCCTTCTGCACGTTTGTAATCAGGGAAAGACTTCTGGGACACTCTGTATAACTATATATTGTAGTAACATTCAAATTCTCCAACAATGTTAGACCCTACATTATTATAAAGACAGAAAAAACAATTACAAAAACTCAAACTAAGCAGTACATTATTATTCATACTGAACTGTACATCAAATTCTTTTTATTAAAGATAAGTGCATCATAGAGAATATTATATCTGATGATAATGATATCACTATTGTAGTCATGAATTGATGTAGAAAATTGTTGAGCAGTTTTTACATTAGAAAAATATTTGGTTTTGGTCCAGTGGTAAAGAGTAGACATAATGATGAAGAACCTGATTATATTTCACTCAATATAAACAGGAAAAGGAGGAATAAACAGTTACACATCTAGATAATATCAAAATAAATGAGTTTTATTTTGATATAAATACTTTTTATGTGTCAATTATCTATATATATAAATGAATTCTTGTTTGTTTTGTCCTTTATATAAATCTTTATTCTTAAACTGATCTGAACCAAAGTTTATACGAGTATTACTTAGACCTTAGAATTGACACTAAACTATATACTATCCGAAAATATTGATTTGATTTCTATATATGAATTAATTTTTGCCTGTATCCGACTTGCTGCTGGTACATATAGTATCATCTATTGGCAAAAAATTTTTTTAAATACTTAAATTAAATTCATACAAAAAAGAATATAATTTAAAACAACAAATATTATATTCACTTAATTACTGTGATGATATATCCTGAAACTTTATTAGAATTAAGATAAGTACTATTCAGAAATGAAAAAAACCCAAGTTGTTAGTTGTAGAAAACCAAATATTTATATAGTTTTCACAGTAGAACACTTTATGCTCAAGATATAATGACGTATGTAAGGAATTATGGTCAACCTGACCTTTTTTATAACCCTAAAATGAAATCCATCTTGGTCTTTCATTAAGGAGAAACTATTAACTGGACAATCGCCCTTTTATTGCCATGATTTGACAGCATAAGTGTTTAAAAAAAAGCTCATCAAATTAATTAATGTGATAACAAAATGTTCGATCTATGGCAAAACATGCTGTTGGATATACTGTATTCAATTGAATGGCAAAATAAAGGGCTACAACATGCATATATGTAGCCCCTTTTTTTTTTGCCAACAAACAAACAAGAATTCATGGACTCTAAAATGAATTAAAAAATTAACTCCATAATTTAACAGATTATTTGACTCAAACAGATTAAAATTTGATTCAAATCAAATTTTTATCAATTGAACCAATTAAATCTTCATTAAAGCTACACACCAACCAATGCCGTATGTTATTGGGCTAGAAACTGCTATAATATTAATAATTTATAAGACAATTTGGCACTAGAGTTAGGCGCCATCTCTTGATAAATTTAATAATTATAATTTTAATTAAATAATTTAGAACTACTGGAAGAAAAGAATCGGCCAGGAGTGGGACTCAAACTTGCAACTCCTGCTTACCATGCAGATGCGTTGCCAATTACACTACATGGACCTCCAATCCAATCTCCTCTTCCAGTATATATAAGGTTACATTACAACCATTGACGGTTATTATGGTGCCGGCTGGGGATGCACCCGCACCCTCATCCTGTAAACATCGCCAAAGGCACTCAACTGGCCATTGCGAACCCCAGCAAGGTGTACGTATATAAACAAACATCATCACTAAACCCGATTTTAATATAATCGGGTTTATTGATGATGTTTAGTTATAATATAAACTTATTAATTTGCTTTTAATTACTGTATTTCAATATTAACATCGAGTCAATACAGAGTTTTCGGTATAGTATATTATTAGTTAGGCCTATTTTTAATAGTAACTCTGAGGCAACCAGAAACTACGTTTATCCAGCATCAACCAATCCCCACAGGTGCAAGTTATCTGAAAGTTTATCATATTTACAATATAAATAATCAATTGTAAAGAATACTGATGAATTTTGTCAGCTGTAGTGATAATAAATTAAAGGTTTCTAAATTTGTACAAGAAAAATTGATGATTACATAAGAAAAATGAGAAATCTATTTTGAAAAATCAATGTACATATTTATTACCAAAATAATAAATTTTCAAACAATTAATGTATTTACCTTTACATGGATTAGATATATAAACACTTAAGACATCATCTGAAAAAATAATAATAATAAAAAAGGTAAATTTACTTCTGATAAAAAATTTTTTTCAAAATTTATATTTCAAAAATCAGTAGCAAGTTATTTTGATTAACAAAATTTACCTGTACTTGAAGTTTCTTGGCAATACCCTTTATGTATATGTGTCTTATATCTGGAAAAACATACTCTAATATTGCCATCTACTGCACTGAACTATAATTTATAAACAAATCTAGATTACTTTCTTGTTCTTGGCATCTAAATATTTTATACGTTATAATTACATTCACCTGAAATTTTATGTGAAAACTTTTCAAGAAGAATTCAGGAAACATAGACCAATACTGTATTCGTTTAGGAGTTACGTAGCCTTGGAATACCGAATCATAGTCATCTAGGACGCTTGGTCTTTCATTACATTCTTTATATTGAAGAATTCCTGGTGCTAAAATGTAATATGAAAATTAAGATATAAAATAACATTATAATAATAATAATAATAAATTAAATGTATAAAATTTATTACATTCGCAAATTTCATTTTTTAAATTGTCCACAATCTCCTTAGCAGTGTCTTCTAAAATCACTTTCTCATAATCTGTAGCAAGCCTTTGTAATAAAGATCGATCAGAACCAACTGCAAAGATCTGAACATCTGAAATAAGAATAATAGTTTTATCTATTTTTTAAAGTTACAGTATGTAGTTTATATAAAAAATATATTTTGATAAAAAATTAAGTTTGAAAATAAAAATTATATATAGGATATTTTGTATTATAGGTGTTTTTTTCATTCATTTATACCGAATGACCATTATTAATGTACCCTTCAACACTGTCTAAAAAGATATTATCAGTTCAAATGTAACCAAATCTGATATGATGATATTTTAGAAAATGTGGAAGACAGTTCCACATGTCCTGAAATATGTAAAATAAAATTAAACCACACAAGTTACCACTATAAAATTTATTTATTAAAAATAGTTTGACACTGAAGCAACAAATCTTTTATTTGTACAAGACACTCGTGCTATATAGAGATATTAGCAATGCAGGAAATTCTGCTCAATTTGTCCCTATTCTAAAGATGTAAAACCAAAGGCAATGAACGGTGTGTTCAATGCGCAACTGTAATTGATCCCATGTGATGCTTCTCATATCAGTGTGATAATGAGAAATTTGCAATAAGTCCTTAATAAATATACTTTTTAGATATCCTCACAACCAAAAATCATCCCAATTAATATTTAGAGAATGAGGTAAGAAATGTATGACTCATTGGTGAAATGTCACAAACTGCTGTATGTAGCATATGATACTCAGAGGCACTTCAAGCACGAAACAAGTTGACTTAAAGAACTGTTGCTATTGTAGTTAGGGTACAATAAAAGCATTATCATTTCTCAATGTTCTGAATTTATAATTTTTATTCATTCAAATATTAAAAAAAGACGTTATATTATTTTTAACAATAATAATTTTATCAGTAGTAATAAACAAAAAATAGTAAACTAAGTTAAAAACATCTAACATAAATTTTATTTTATTCATTCATTTAAATTATAATTAAAAATAATCTTAATTAATGTTTTAAAATAGAAAAGTGTGCTTACCACGATGTTTATTTTTCAGTTCCCAATAAGCATTTTGAAAATTACGATCTTGTTTTAATGTTTTAGCATAATTAAAGTACACTATAGTCTGCCAAAACATAAATAATAATAAATTTACAAAAATTATAATATAGTTCTATACAAAAATAAAATATAAATTAGAACTGCAACTGATTATTTATCTTTTTAAGAAAAAAAAAACTGTTTTTAAATACAGTATAGTCCAAATTAACTAAGGTCCATTTAACTGATGTGAATTGTAGAAGAGTATTTTGTCAACAAAGACAAAATACTCTTCTTGGTTGCTAATGAAATTAATTAACAGTGTTCTATTGTATAATTTAAAAGTGATTGCATTCAATAGTAAATGTAATCTGAAAATAAATCAGCAACAAGTTGCTCAACTTTCCTGGCAACATTTATAATTTTGGTGGCATCATCTGTTATCATATTTTATTTTTAAAAACTTTTTATATTTTTAACTATTATAAAATGGCAAAAACCTTAATTTTGAGGGTAGGATGAGTTTTATAAAAAAAATTGTAAATGAGTAAAATTGTCATTAAGTCCTATCCTACTGGAGATACACATGATCCCCATTATCTCCCCACTCCTTGATTAAAGAATTGCCAAAATTTAATAGCATCAATACCCCTAATAAACAAACCGCCTTGCAAAATTTCAGAAACTTTTGAGGAGTTATTAAGCTTCAAAGAGGGTAAATAAAATTGTGCGATACACACATACTGTACACTTAACATCCATACATACAGAAATTATCCCCAATTTTTTTTTTGCATTTCTTGACGTTTCAAGATGTCCTAAGTCCAAAAATGTAAAAATGTAGGGTTCATTTTTTTACCAATTGCCATACTTTCCTTCTGTTATATATAACAGTTTGGAATGTAATAATGTATATTGCATGCGTTAATGCATCCAAATCCAGTTCATTTAATAATTTAAAAAACATTCTACGTTATATAGGTTTTTGGCTATTCGAGGGATATTCTCAGTCAGCATTACCTTGAATGATTGGGACCTACTGTGTATATTTGTGTATGTATGTAATACATATATTGTTCAAAATAGTTATCAAATATTGCAATATCAGATTTATTTTATATAAAATTTAGCATTCTATGCATTAAAATGTTGCGATTTATGTATAATACAATGAAAATTTACAATAAATTTCCAGATATCTGTATCTTTTCAATGCCACAAACATATACTACTGTTTTAATAACTGTAGAATGTCATCATAGTTTATAAGAGTTTCAAAACAATCTTTTCTAATTTACATTGTTCAAATTAGATAAATTATTATTTAAATAAATAAATATATATTAAGGACTTCATTAACATTTTATCACATATAATGAACTTATAATAAAATTTGGAGTATAAAATTTAAACTTTTATAGTAATCATTGAAGTTTTAATCTATTTTTAATTAAAACATTTTCTTTTATTTATATTCTACCTTTCCAGGAACCCCTCCAGAATGTGATCTATCCAATTCATAGTCCGTTAACATCTTATATAATGATTGTAGTACATACGTTTCATCAACTTGCGAAAAACCTGTAAATTTGTATAAAAATTTATGATATTTTTAATTTATTTAATATCTTAAATGAGGAAACTTATAAAATTTAAAATTGAATATAAAAATAAAAAGCTTATATAGTTTACAATCAAGATAAAGATTTTGATTACTTAACTGATGTAAATAGATTTATACTATTTGTAATGTATATAATGTTTCAATATAGTTATAATAAATCATATCTAAGTTTAAATCATATTATAATATTGAATGATATGAATTTGATTAAAAACAATACAAATCTGTTAATACATCTAAGAAAATTAAATGCTTGGATAGAAAAAATAATGATCTAATCCATAAATAATTGTTTTTTAAATACAATACATCTTGATGTAGTGCCCTCCAAATCAGCATCATCCTTGTAAAGTACCAATGAATACTTGCAATGAAATCTACATAAATATTAAATATGCAACATCTTTCAGTATCTATGAATTACTGAATGCTAGAGATTGGCAATAGTTAACCACTAATAAAATTAAATTATGTAGTTAATTACTCTAGCTATTTTTCATTCACTATAATGTTGCCTTGTTGTAATCGATTATATTAAGCAGAGCAAACACTTCTTGACTTTTATGGAGCTGGCTTCAACTTTTTTACTCATTTGAGAAATTGTATCATTTGAAATTTTTATATTGCCATTTGATAAAATTCAAATTCAAACAGAAACAATCAATCAGATATTATGTTTCTCCAAAAGCATGTGAAAGAAAATGCATGGCTTGTTATGTAAGTATAAATCAAGTTATTGTTCTATTACTTAAATTGAAAAGACAGTCTACAGGAATTTTCATGTAAAATCAGGAATTTAGAAAATAAAAGCATTAGTTTGAATGAGCTCAACAGGGACTGAAACTACTGAACACTGGTTTCAAGTTTGCCTGTTGTCAACAGGCTGGCCGCATGGAGTTTTCTGGGTTTTCTTCACGTCACTAGTACTTTCAACTATTTTCAACTTTGTATTACATTGCTGTTTATACTAGTTAACTAGGTAGTTAATGTCTGTCATTACTAAATGCATTATATATGACATCATCATCAGATCATATGGCCTCATTAATATATATACAGTAATACCCCGAACTTACGCGATAGGTGGGACCAAGCGGTAACCACGTAAGTCAAATTCGCGTAAGTCGGGGTATAATTTCGCATATAAATACATACAAATAATTTTTAATTGGGGCCAGGAGACTAAAGAAAACAATAATTTAGAAAAAAATGTTTAATAAAATCCTAGATAATACATATGTATAACAAATTAGGCTATATTATTTTACAATTTTTCACATTCACTTGATTATTACGCCATAATTTTAACATTGTTTCCATCTCAGCGATAATACTGTGACGTTTAGGAATGATGCTTGAATTTAAAGATTGAGCATTTCTCACAGCTTCGAGAATTTTTTCTTTCCTTTTATAATTGTTCCGTCAATTCCGGTAGATCAAACTTCTTTGCCAATTCACAAATTTTCATTTTTGTATCAAAGTCTTTAATAATTGATACGTTCGTAAGTCAAACAAGTTAAACGCGTTAGTAACAAATCGTTCGAAAAGTCTAATGAAATAGGAATAACGATGACGTCATTCTCGTTTAACTTGTTCGACTTTACGAACATATCCAATGTTAACTTTACATTCCAAAGATAAAGTTTTTCTTTTCTTGTTTGATGCAGAAGAATTAGTTCTACTTCGTTTGGATGACATAGTAGAGTCTCTCGAGTCTCCGTAGATATAACAAACACAGAAATAAATAACGCAAAATAAATTGTAGCTATGTGTGGATTCCGCGCAACACATCTTCATAAGTCGAGGTATTACTGTAATTCTTATTGTTTAAAGTAGTTCAGTTTCATACCATAATTAATTTAGTGTCTAAAATAATGCATCTATAATGAATATTTATTTTTGCTATTGTTTATGAATAGAAAAAAAAAATTTGTTATTAAGGATAAAATTTGTTTTAAAACTTCTTAATGAGTTGGTTCTCCAATTGTTCATTCGATTAAGCTAATATGAGGAAAAATTTGAGAGATCTTTAAATTAATCACTTCAGACACTGTCCTCAGTTCAGTATAGCAATATAATGAATCAATGAAAAGCAATCAAGCAGCATTTCTAATCAGTTACTGGTGTTTCAGGTATTAAGTGGATTGCATCATTAGTTCATTAAGATATTAATCAGTATTCTATCATTAGTTCATAAAGATATTAATCAGTATTCTATTTAGTTGGAATCTAGTATCAATAGAAATGCTAATTGAATGCCATCAACCCAAATTATTCAGAATAAGTTCATGAGTATCTTTTGAACAAAATTGTGTGAACAAAATCAATCTTGATTAATTTGAAAGAAAGACTATTTGACTGGTAAACTGTTAAAATTTCTTTCAACAAGAGAATGGAAAAGATCAACCGGATAAGGATAAGCTGTCAGGGGTCTACAGCATACCGATTATAGATCGCAGATGTGATAGAAACCTTCTGTATGTGGGCTCCACCAAACGATCCTTAGAGGTTAGACTCAAAGAACATGCTGCTGATATTCAGAAACAAAGGAGCATGACGGCCCTAGCAGTATATGCCTCCAATCCGGATATAGACCCCGAATTTAAGAAAGCAAGAATTATCTGCACCACACGGTACGTACACCATATCAAATGGCTAGAGGTGGCCAGCATATACTTAGCTAACCTTAAGGATAATCAATGCATCAATTATAAAGAAGAGATTATGTTATCAACAGCGTGGCTAGCATTTATGAATGGTAATTTATGGTAGCCCATGTTGGAGTCGACTGCGCATGACATACAACGACGGAAATGGGAAACGTGCATTCGAACTTACATATTTCGAATTTAAAGTTTTTACGAGCTGCATTTTCCATCAGAGATTCGAAAAAGCCTGAAGAAGAACCGTTTTAGGGGTTCGAAAACGTTAGTTTTGGATCTTTAAGAGTTAGTAGACGCACCGGTAACAGGTTAGAAAGAGTTATATTACTATTCTCCGGTGTTGTGGTAAAGATGTGCTTTCAACAAGACTATAGAATAAAACAAATTATGTGGTTTGCCTAAATAAAAGTGAGACTTTTGTATTAGTATCATTATTCCAATACACAGAGGGCATTGTATGTCAGGAAGCAAGCTGTTTGCATATGCTGAAGCAAGTTGACTACATACAGTTGTGATATGGATTCATCCAATCACAGTATGTGCTACATTAACTGAACTCAAAACAGCAATTAAGAGAAAGTGACCCAATATGTTGTCAAATGGGGTTACTCTGTTGCATGACAACAAACACCCACATGTGGCAATAGTGTGCCAAGATTTCCTGCAGCACTTCCGCTGAGAAGATCTCTACCATTCTTTCCTATGGATCCAATATGGTGCCCTGCAACTATCACATCTTCAGGCCACCAGTTTGCTAGCAATGCTGAGGTCCAAGATGTCATTGAAGATTGATTCCACAGCCAAATACAGACATTCTTTGTTCAGAGTACCCAAAATCTAGTGATGTTCTGGAACACTTGCTTAAATGTACAAGGCAATTATGTGTAGTGAATATGTAGCCCATGTATGTCACTATTACTTTAAACCATTACAGATAAAAATCAAAAGTGCCACTTTCATTTGAGTGACCCTTATACATAAATACAAATATATTGGCTATCAAAATGTTCAAAACTGAAAGAGTAAATATGTTAATTTTTTAAATTTTTACAGTGTTTTTCTGAAATTCCTGTGTGTTTTAGTGAAAGAACAGTTTTACTGATATTATTTCAGAGCATCTTGAGAATGAATATGCACAAACATATGGTGGTGGCAACATTGTTCATTCAGGGAAAAGAACGTAATGAAAATCTGAATTTATGTAACTTATGCTCATATAAATCAGGACTAATTGTTGATATCATTTCATCAATACATTTATGAAACTAATATGAAACTTATTTAAAATCAACATAAAATTCAGTAAATAGTTCAGTTTACAATTTGAGTAATTATAATTAAAGAATTTGATCTTACCAGCATAATACCAATCCAGTTTACATCCTACGCATCCACTTGAAGTTTCATTAAAAGCAATAGTTTCTAACACTCGGTCGCCAAATCCACGGGAATTAGTAAAGATATAGAAACGACCACCATAATAGCGAATATCTAGACCAGTTGACAATGAACTAAATATGAAACAAAATTTATTTTTAAATTTTTAAAATTATAAATGAAAACCAAGTAATAATTATTTTAACAATTAATGGTTTCTTAATAACATATCCAATATTGCTGAGTTTTATTAATTTAAAATTTTGTCTTGAATGATATTTTAAAAGTAACTTATAATGATATATAAATATTTCTTCAATGAAAATACTGGCGTACCCCAGGTTATGTACATAATGTATTCTCTCAAATAATAGTTGTATCATGAATTTTCATTTCTCATAATTTTTTTTATTCAAAAGAAAGCTTTACCCCATGGAAAGTTTTTGAGTAATGACCAATATGGTTTCACATCCCAGTGTTCTGCAGAGGATATCCTCGTTAAATTATGTGACACTCTACAGCAAAGAAAGAAGAAGAGATTGATGTATGTCTCTTTTAATATTTCTAGATATCAAAGATATATATTTGACAATGTTTNTATAGCTGTATATGTTTTTTTCCTTTTACAAATCAGTGAATCTACATTTATCTTTACTTTATCTGGATTCAATATATCATATATATATATATATATATATATATACGAACAAGTATTTTATGATTTCAATCTTCAAATAGATAATGAACAAAAAATTAGATGATTCTTTCAAAAAGCTTTTTCATAACTGAAATATATTTTTATAAATTAATCTAGAAAGACTGAAGCAAAGAACCAGCCTATTACTCTGATGGCTGTCTGCACCAACACACTTAATCTACAGACTAGAATTAGACCTAGAATCAATAAAAAATACACATTGCACTGACAAGATAATCTGGGAAATTAAATTTATCTAAAAAATAGAAGGAATAAAGTTGTTAGCGTTCAGATTAAATGCAATGACTGTAATGTATTATAAAAATAAGACTAGAATGAAATAAGTCATTCCTTCATTATGCAGAGCAATAATCTTAGCGTGTGTAAGCGCTGCCTTTAAACAACATACTTTAGATTAACAAAGAAACTTTTCAGAATTGTAACATGGGACTCTCAATTTTGAAATGACCATCACACATGACAAGCACCCATTATACAGGGTGTCCCAGAAGTCTTTCCCTGATTACAAACATGCAGAAAGCAGAAAATATGACACATAGACACATATCTTTTATTTTGAATTACAGGTAACATATTCAAGTTTTTGTGTGTACATACATACTCACTGTTACTTTGTTTGTTACAGAACAATCACAGCCAATACCTATCTTGATATGTTGCAGTTATTTGTTGTGCCACAGATTCAGGACATTTCTGGACTTAATTTTCCAACAAGATGGTGCGCCAACTCATTGGGAGTTAGATGTTTGTGCCTATTTGGATACAGCATTTCCGGGAAGATGGATCGTGTGTGGTGGTCCCATCAACTGGCCTCTGCAATCACCGGACATAACACCACTGGATGTCTTCCTTTGGGGTTATGTCAAGGACCAGGTTTACCAAACACCAGTGAATGACATCGCAGCATTATGGCGCAGAATTACTGACGTCATAACATCCATCCCTCACAATATGTTGACCAACACATAGGTGGAATTGGAATATTGCCTGGATATCCTTCGAGCAACGAAAGGAGCACACGTCGAAATTTATTAATGAGTATGTATGTACACACAAAAACTCGAATATGTTACCTGCAATTCAAGATAAAAGATATGTGTCTGTATCATATTTTTTGCCTTCTGCACGTTTGTAATCAGGGAAAGACTTCTGGGACACTCTGTATAACTATATATTGTAGTAACATTCAAATTCTCCAACAATGTTAGACCCTACATTATTATAAAGACAGAAAAAACAATTACAAAAACTCAAACTAAGCAGTACATTATTATTCATACTGAACTGTACATCAAATTCTTTTTATTAAAGATAAGTGCATCATAGAGAATATTATATCTGATGATAATGATATCACTATTGTAGTCATGAATTGATGTAGAAAATTGTTGAGCAGTTTTTACATTAGAAAAATATTTGGTTTTGGTCCAGTGGTAAAGAGTAGACATAATGATGAAGAACCTGATTATATTTCACTCAATATAAACAGGAAAAGGAGGAATAAACAGTTACACATCTAGATAATATCAAAATAAATGAGTTTTATTTTGATATAAATACTTTTTATGTGTCAATTATCTATATATATAAATGAATTCTTGTTTGTTTTGTCCTTTATATAAATCTTTATTCTTAAACTGATCTGAACCAAAGTTTATACGAGTATTACTTAGACCTTAGAATTGACACTAAACTATATACTATCCGAAAATATTGATTTGATTTCTATATATGAATTAATTTTTGCCTGTATCCGACTTGCTGCTGGTACATATAGTATCATCTATTGGCAAAAAATTTTTTTAAATACTTAAATTAAATTCATACAAAAAAGAATATAATTTAAAACAACAAATATTATATTCACTTAATTACTGTGATGATATATCCTGAAACTTTATTAGAATTAAGATAAGTACTATTCAGAAATGAAAAAAACCCAAGTTGTTAGTTGTAGAAAACCAAATATTTATATAGTTTTCACAGTAGAACACTTTATGCTCAAGATATAATGACGTATGTAAGGAATTATGGTCAACCTGACCTTTTTTATAACCCTAAAATGAAATCCATCTTGGTCTTTCATTAAGGAGAAACTATTAACTGGACAATCGCCCTTTTATTGCCATGATTTGACAGCATAAGTGTTTAAAAAAAAGCTCATCAAATTAATTAATGTGATAACAAAATGTTCGATCTATGGCAAAACATGCTGTTGGATATACTGTATTCAATTGAATGGCAAAATAAAGGGCTACAACATGCATATATGTAGCCCCTTTTTTTTTTGCCAACAAACAAACAAGAATTCATGGACTCTAAAATGAATTAAAAAATTAACTCCATAATTTAACAGATTATTTGACTCAAACAGATTAAAATTTGATTCAAATCAAATTTTTATCAATTGAACCAATTAAATCTTCATTAAAGCTACACACCAACCAATGCCGTATGTTATTGGGCTAGAAACTGCTATAATATTAATAATTTATAAGACAATTTGGCACTAGAGTTAGGCGCCATCTCTTGATAAATTTAATAATTATAATTTTAATTAAATAATTTAGAACTACTGGAAGAAAAGAATCGGCCAGGAGTGGGACTCAAACTTGCAACTCCTGCTTACCATGCAGATGCGTTGCCAATTACACTACATGGACCTCCAATCCAATCTCCTCTTCCAGTATATATAAGGTTACATTACAACCATTGACGGTTATTATGGTGCCGGCTGGGGATGCACCCGCACCCTCATCCTGTAAACATCGCCAAAGGCACTCAACTGGCCATTGCGAACCCCAGCAAGGTGTACGTATATAAACAAACATCATCACTAAACCCGATTTTAATATAATCGGGTTTATTGATGATGTTTAGTTATAATATAAACTTATTAATTTGCTTTTAATTACTGTATTTCAATATTAACATCGAGTCAATACAGAGTTTTCGGTATAGTATATTATTAGTTAGGCCTATTTTTAATAGTAACTCTGAGGCAACCAGAAACTACGTTTATCCAGCATCAACCAATCCCCACAGGTGCAAGTTATCTGAAAGTTTATCATATTTACAATATAAATAATCAATTGTAAAGAATACTGATGAATTTTGTCAGCTGTAGTGATAATAAATTAAAGGTTTCTAAATTTGTACAAGAAAAATTGATGATTACATAAGAAAAATGAGAAATCTATTTTGAAAAATCAATGTACATATTTATTACCAAAATAATAAATTTTCAAACAATTAATGTATTTACCTTTACATGGATTAGATATATAAACACTTAAGACATCATCTGAAAAAATAATAATAATAAAAAAGGTAAATTTACTTCTGATAAAAAATTTTTTTCAAAATTTATATTTCAAAAATCAGTAGCAAGTTATTTTGATTAACAAAATTTACCTGTACTTGAAGTTTCTTGGCAATACCCTTTATGTATATGTGTCTTATATCTGGAAAAACATACTCTAATATTGCCATCTNTCTTGAGAATGAAGTTAGATAGACAAAACCTAAGAACAGAGATGAAAGCCTTAGGGGCAGGAGGCCCAATTAACTACAGTATATACAAACTTCTGATGCAAACCAGAAGTCATGTCATTATACATGAATATAAGATGACTATATTCCTTAAGAACTCTGTTTTAAATTATTAAAAGCGAAAGTACTTGAAATGTTTATGTTTTTATTAGTGTTGGCTAATTTTGTATTGCAGAATTATATGTAGCATTACATTATTACTTGCCATATCACTCAAATAATATAAAACCTGTCTAAAATGTAAACCTTTTTAAACAGGTTTCCATTTTAGAAAGATTTTACTGTATATGCCTATTACTAATATATTTACTACATTTAACTTTCACTACCAGAATCTATTCGGATTGAAACGGAATAATTTCAATTACACCTTACCATTGTACAGAATAATTAAAAATAGCAAATAATATAATTTACTATTTTGAATTATTTTGTACATTTGTGAATGACAAGAAGGTATTTTGTATTTTGAAATAGGACTTGATATTGATTATTGGACTTGATATATCTACCTTTGATTTGTTATATCTGGATCAACTTATAAATGAAAATNTTAATTAAATAATTTAGAACTACTGGAAGAAAAGAATCGGCCAGGAGTGGGACTCAAACTTGCAACTCCTGCTTACCATGCAGATGCGTTGCCAATTACACTACATGGACCTCCAATCCAATCTCCTCTTCCAGTATATATAAGGTTACATTACAACCATTGACGGTTATTATGGTGCCGGCTGGGGATGCACCCGCACCCTCATCCTGTAAACATCGCCAAAGGCACTCAACTGGCCATTGCGAACCCCAGCAAGGTGTACGTATATAAACAAACATCATCACTAAACCCGATTTTAATATAATCGGGTTTATTGATGATGTTTAGTTATAATATAAACTTATTAATTTGCTTTTAATTACTGTATTTCAATATTAACATCGAGTCAATACAGAGTTTTCGGTATAGTATATTATTAGTTAGGCCTATTTTTAATAGTAACTCTGAGGCAACCAGAAACTACGTTTATCCAGCATCAACCAATCCCCACAGGTGCAAGTTATCTGAAAGTTTATCATATTTACAATATAAATAATCAATTGTAAAGAATACTGATGAATTTTGTCAGCTGTAGTGATAATAAATTAAAGGTTTCTAAATTTGTACAAGAAAAATTGATGATTACATAAGAAAAATGAGAAATCTATTTTGAAAAATCAATGTACATATTTATTACCAAAATAATAAATTTTCAAACAATTAATGTATTTACCTTTACATGGATTAGATATATAAACACTTAAGACATCATCTGAAAAAATAATAATAATAAAAAAGGTAAATTTACTTCTGATAAAAAATTTTTTTCAAAATTTATATTTCAAAAATCAGTAGCAAGTTATTTTGATTAACAAAATTTACCTGTACTTGAAGTTTCTTGGCAATACCCTTTATGTATATGTGTCTTATATCTGGAAAAACATACTCTAATATTGCCATCTACTGCACTGAACTATAATTTATAAACAAATCTAGATTACTTTCTTGTTCTTGGCATCTAAATATTTTATACGTTATAATTACATTCACCTGAAATTTTATGTGAAAACTTTTCAAGAAGAATTCAGGAAACATAGACCAATACTGTATTCGTTTAGGAGTTACGTAGCCTTGGAATACCGAATCATAGTCATCTAGGACGCTTGGTCTTTCATTACATTCTTTATATTGAAGAATTCCTGGTGCTAAAATGTAATATGAAAATTAAGATATAAAATAACATTATAATAATAATAATAATAAATTAAATGTATAAAATTTATTACATTCGCAAATTTCATTTTTTAAATTGTCCACAATCTCCTTAGCAGTGTCTTCTAAAATCACTTTCTCATAATCTGTAGCAAGCCTTTGTAATAAAGATCGATCAGAACCAACTGCAAAGATCTGAACATCTGAAATAAGAATAATAGTTTTATCTATTTTTTAAAGTTACAGTATGTAGTTTATATAAAAAATATATTTTGATAAAAAATTAAGTTTGAAAATAAAAATTATATATAGGATATTTTGTATTATAGGTGTTTTTTTCATTCATTTATACCGAATGACCATTATTAATGTACCCTTCAACACTGTCTAAAAAGATATTATCAGTTCAAATGTAACCAAATCTGATATGATGATATTTTAGAAAATGTGGAAGACAGTTCCACATGTCCTGAAATATGTAAAATAAAATTAAACCACACAAGTTACCACTATAAAATTTATTTATTAAAAATAGTTTGACACTGAAGCAACAAATCTTTTATTTGTACAAGACACTCGTGCTATATAGAGATATTAGCAATGCAGGAAATTCTGCTCAATTTGTCCCTATTCTAAAGATGTAAAACCAAAGGCAATGAACGGTGTGTTCAATGCGCAACTGTAATTGATCCCATGTGATGCTTCTCATATCAGTGTGATAATGAGAAATTTGCAATAAGTCCTTAATAAATATACTTTTTAGATATCCTCACAACCAAAAATCATCCCAATTAATATTTAGAGAATGAGGTAAGAAATGTATGACTCATTGGTGAAATGTCACAAACTGCTGTATGTAGCATATGATACTCAGAGGCACTTCAAGCACGAAACAAGTTGACTTAAAGAACTGTTGCTATTGTAGTTAGGGTACAATAAAAGCATTATCATTTCTCAATGTTCTGAATTTATAATTTTTATTCATTCAAATATTAAAAAAAGACGTTATATTATTTTTAACAATAATAATTTTAAAAAAATATATTATCTTCTGCACTACCGAGAGAAATAATAAGTGTGTTATTAAATGACGTAATGTAAAATGTACCCCGTATAAATTGTTTTATTATTAACTTTAGGAGTGGTAGAAGTATTAATAAAACGTTATTTTAGTAAATTTAGGACGCCGTTTTTCCTTTAATTCCAATAATCAAACGTTGCGGAACGATAGTAAACGGCGCTTTTCTATTTTAATATTCTTCGTTTCGATGATCTGAATATTAAAAAATGTAGTGTGACGTAATTTCGATGTCATGGGAATTTAAATATTTGAATTTGACCACGTGGTTAAGGAGTGATGGGATAATTACGACGCTACTCACCTGTGATTTATGCTGCTTTTATTAGCGGTTTTTTACATTAGTAATTGCACGTTATGGCGCTAAATCGGGGCATGGTTGGAATGGAAAAAGTGGTTGTGACGTCACGCAATTTTAAATACTGTACTGTATTCGAATTTAACCACGTGACTTAGAGAGTAATACGGTAATTACGATACTACTCACCTGTGATTTATGTTGTTCTTGTTTATTAACGAGAAGGGCGGGCTTAATCTTAGTAGCTGTACGTTCGAGCGCTAAATCGGGACATCGTTCAAATTGTAGGACACGTTCGGCGACCGATCCTTTGCTTACTAAATTGTGACCGTGACGTTCTACTGGCGATCTTTCTCTTATGTGTTGCTTCTGAACAGATGTTAATTTGGGATGAGGAATTGTCGTGACGTTCGACTTGCGCGTGTCACACGAGTTAGACTTTTCCAGTCCTTGAAACTTGGAGGACGTTGTCCTTTCTGGCACTTGGGGTACAATTTTTCTGTAAAGATCTCCATTGGGTTCCGTCGGATTTTGATGGTTCCTGTCGATTTTATCTTCTTTAGAAGACACCCGAATCTTGCTCGGTTTATAATCGATGCAATTCGAGTTCCACGTAACGCTATTTAAGGGTGTGGATCTGTCAGATTTGATGTGATTTTCGTTGAAATATTCTTTATCCCTCGTTACAGCGTGTTGCTTGGGTGTTGTTTTTTGAGTCTCCTTCCTGATTTTGTCCGTCTGTACAAAATTACTAACTACATCCCTCAATTGATCTTCGATTTCGCTGACTAACACGTCCCATGGGTCGTTAGGACGCGTGACAGCCGGAGGGAGCGAGAAAGGAGGAAGTTTTAACAAAGGTGAACAAAGTCCGTAATGTACTGCGTGACATTCCGAACTGGATAACTTCGATGGATCCGGACAACAGGGCTCGTGCTCCAACGCATGCACGGATCTACTACGCGATAGGTCAACAAGGGCACAGTTATACCACGTGACGCGAGATACCAACACTGTACATCCAGCACCGTCCTGATACATCGTTACATCTTACGGCGAGTGATTTCTTACAAAATGCGTCGTATCACCATTGATCCTATAGGGTAACTAAGGGAATGCCCCGACCTCCGTATATGGTAACATCACTGGTTAACTTGTTGGCTTAACTCCAGGTTTAATTTTACATCTGGCTCACACGGGGACACACACATACACACAACTCTCTAAAACGACAATCTCTCTCCCTCTCCCGCGTCTTGTCTGTAGGCCTGACCTCCAGGGAGGGCGGAGTTGCAGTCACTCCCTCCCACACAAACGGTCACATACAGGCAATCAACAACCATGTGAGGGGCTAATTGTCAAGCTGGTGAGAACTGCTCCATTCAGTCTAGTAGTGTGTTGCTATGTACTTTTAGCCATTACGGGGTGTGTGTGTATATACGTCTCGTTATCGACGCTTTAATGTATTGTTAAAGTTCACTAACTGCTCGTGTAATTTCGTACTTAACAAAAGATTTCATTTCGTCTACTTCCGGTACCATTTTTATATTCTAATAAATCGAAAATAACATTTTAAATACATTAGTGGGTGGTCCGACTACGTCCTTGAGATCCTGTTTTCTGTGACGTTTCATTTTTTGATATTTACTACCAGATACTGGATTTTATTCGCGTTTTTTTTTCTTTTTTTCTCTCAAATATATTTTCGCCAGCCAACCAATGATGAACTATTTGGCAACAGACATTCTTCTATACACCCCTCTGTGGGGGTGAAACTGGGGCGTATACACAAATGGAGATTTTAGGACAGAAAGCAGGTGCGTCTTAACAAGTAATATATTCGTAAATGACCGAAAAAAAACACGGAAAAATTTACTTTTTACGTTACTTTTCACATGAAAATTTACTTATAATGGAAAATGTCTGTCCGTCGATCGAGTCTGGACACCACGACTAAAATTAGTAACGGAAAAAAAAAGGGGATCTATTAATGTCATACTAGAGATAATTTTGTTTTTTTAGCAGTTACTTCCGTGTTAGATCTCGATTGTTTGCACATTTTGCAAGCAAATTCTTCCTCTAAACGATCATTTTTCTTGCGTAATTTATTATTTGTTGACTTTTATGCATGACATACAACTTTTTTTTTTTTAAAAAAGGAAAATTTATTAAGAAAATTACCATTATAAATTTCATATTTAGCTTACATCAATGAGATAAACAGTTATTTGTACCTACAACTCACACATGTATGTAGAAAAAAAAAAATGGTTAACAGGTTTATTTTGATATTTAAAATCATTGTGTGTCATTTTCTACTTGTTCATTTTCATCAAGTAAAATAACGTTAAAGCTATAAGTGTGAAGGATGAAAATAACCCAGTTGATCCATTGCATGATACTCCTACATAAAAATAAAAATTTGTATTGTATTTAAATGGTATTAAACTGGTTTTAATGAGTGTCGAAAACTGAAACTTTACCTTCGTGCCTTATTGTAAACTTAATCTGATCGAAGGTTTTACATTCTTTATCTATGGGGAAAACCATTTGTAAAGTATTAATATAAGTCAAGTAATTAGATATAAATGATTAATGAATAACTTACCTAAACACTTTGCTTCGTGACTACCTGTGTCCTTTCCTTCTATGGAAAAGTGGAAAGGATCGCAGTTGTATACATTTTTGCCTAGATTTAAAAGGAAAAAAGAAGCTTAATTAATTTAAAGAATGCAGTGCTAAGTTTAAATATGTGTATTTTTTTTACCATTAATCATTAAAGGACAATGATTTTAAAAAATGTGTTTCGTTAAGATATGTTTGTATGCATTTAAAAATTTCATACAAAGATATCTCAATGATACTCTACTGCAGTTAATTATTGATAAATAAAGTTTAAATATCAATTAATTAAGATATATTCTTGACAGTAATTAAAAGATATAAAAAATCCATAGACTGATGAGGAAATTTATCATTAAATTTGGAAATGAAATGGTCAGAGAATAAAACAGTTGCAGAGATGAAATTTTTGAAATCAAACATGGATATTTGAGACTAAAAAAGTAAAATAGATGTTAAATACAAGAAGAGCTAGGAGCTAAAAGTGTTGTTCAGAAGTATATTTGTAGATTTGGAGTACCTGGGGGGTAATGAGATATATATATATATATATATATATATA